AATTACATAGGTGGGGTGTGAACACATTCGTGCTGTAAAAAAAAAATCAAAGCATACAGAAGCATACTGACATTCTCGATGTTCCTGAGTCAGCCCCTACATATCCATTCCCTTCCCTGGAGGAAGCCACAGTTCTTGGTTCAGTGAGTCTTTCTTTTCAATCCCTTTCCCATGCACCAACATGCATTTTTTTGCAAATTCACATCCATAGGGCTTTTCGGGCACACATAGTTTCATACTGTGATTATTGTTCTACAGTTTCTTTTTTCTACGTTATCGTATGTCTTGGAGGTATTTGCATCAGTATGGTTGGACCTACGGCATTCTTCTTAATGACTACAGAATATTCCAGATGATGCATGTACTATAATTTGGTGAAAATCATTCCTGTTGTTGTATGTTCAGGTTTTTTCCTACTTTTTCAGTATTAAAAACAGTGCTGTAATGAATGTCCTTGTACACAGATCTTTGTTGATACTGAGTTTCTGCAGAATAGATTCTAAGGAAAGATTGCAGGATTACAAGAGATGTGCATTTAACACTTTGGTGACTGTGGCCTTCCTACTTGAGGTTTTATTGTTGGATGCTCTGGGCCTAGTTGCCAGTTCTCTTTCCTCTTGTGCACATTGTAATTCAGGGAGTGTTCAATTAACTGCAATCAAAGTAATCAGGACCTCAATTAATCAGGCCACCTTAAGGAGGAAGAAAGAAGAGATAAGATATTAGAGGTTTAGTGAGGATGTGGGGAAGAAACTTCTAGAGGCTGTACATTTAGTTCATTAACTTATCTTTTTGACCTCTAAGCATTTAGCTCTGAAGAGTAAGGACTGATTATTCATAATGATGACCTTGATATCGTAAAAGATTCATTAAACAAGAGTGAATGGTGCTCTCCAGACAGGATTTCCTAAAGCAGAAACTATATGTACAAATTCATTTTTGAACATTTCTCAACTACAAAAAAGTTTGCTGCTTAAATCTTGGTCAACAACAAAAACATTCACCAGAACCATGTCCCTCAACCCCCAAACCTTCCAGTTAGTCTACATGGGTTGGCCACATGGTAAGGAGATACAGATGAAATAAAGTTCCTAAAAGTCACCAGTGATCTTCACCAAGTCCAGGTCAGTGGTTGTTGCTATGTAATTCTTCTGACTTCAACCTTGGCCTTTGGTGATAGAAAACGATTGGGTCACCTCTTATTTTTCTTGTCATTTCCCCCTCTTGGAAGAATCCTCTTTAACTTCCCATGCCTTACTTTGGCATCCCCTATATTCTGTGTTTTTAGCCTGTTTCTCCCTATGCTATCTCTTAGAGAACACATCCATTTTCATAGCTCTCACCCCTAAATTTATATGTCAGTTCTGAATTCTCCCAGAGCTTACAATCTCATGTTGCTAAGTACTTATTGGATTTCTCCTCCTGTATATCTCACCATAAAATCAAAATTATCTTATATCCCTTAATATGTATAAAATACCTTTACAAATCCAGAAGACAAAGACAGATGTCCATTTCTTTAAAAATGGACAAAGAGGGCCTCCTTGGTGGCGCAAGGGGTTAAGCACCATACTATGAAGCAGTCTGCAGCCTCTGCAGCATGAGTTAGATCCCCGGCCGGCCAGGGAGCAACCCACATGGTGCAGCAGACCTCTCCTGACTTGCCTACTGCTCCCCTCAGCAGTGTATTTCAGTCAATCTGCCTGATCTGTTCCCTACTCTGTCTCTGGTGAATCCTCTCACCCCCCACACCTCTGGCCTGTACCCCAGCTCTTGTATGCATAAATAAATAAATCTTAAAAAAAATGGACAAAGATATGAAGAGCTCACATATGCATATATACAATAATACACTCATAATTGAACAATAACAAACTTTCACCTTTGATAATAAATGCAAATTCAATGACATGATACTCCTTTCCAGTAATTCAATTCACAATTGTTAAAAAGCCTCAGAAACTCAGTGTTGGCCTAAGTCTGGGTAAACAGACACGCTCCCATATTGGTGGTAGAATACGTCAATGGTGGAATAGACATTTGTACTATTCTCAGTTGAATGATTTCTCAATGTGTACCAAAGCCTTTGAAACGTGTGTGCCCTTGGACCCAGCAGGTTTCAATTCTAGGAATTTAATTAAGGAAGTAACCAGAGACATATGTAAACCTGTAAGAACAAGAACAAGAACATATTCTTCATAATGTTGAAAACTTGGAAACATGCAGAATGTCTAGCAGTGGAAGATTGGTAAAGAAAATGTAGCACATTCCTACAATGGAATGCTATGTGGCCAATAAAAACAGTGTTTCAGAAGTATGCTTAGCTAGTCAAGATAACATCCGTACTAATTGTCAGGTTATTAAGTCAGATTAGGAAAAGTTTGTTTCCATTTGTATGAAATAAAACTGCACAGGCTGGAGGGTGAGGCATTAGAATTCGTAACAGTGCTTATCTCCGGAGAGTGATAGTATGGGTGCATTTTTTTTATTTTCTCCTTGATAATCTTCCATATGTTCTAAAATTTCTACAGTGAATGGTGATTACTTTTATAAAATAAAAAAAAAAACTTGGTAAGTGTAAATTTTTTAGTAATAACTGGTTTAAAGCTGGACTCCTTGACTTCCCCAGTTAAACCAACTCCCTTTCCTGAATTCCCTCCTTCTGTCCAGAGAGCCAGCAGTCCCAGCTCCCAGGCTCGCAACCCTTGCAGCATCTACTCATTGGGGTGCATCCTTCTTTAGGACACTTCTCAAATCTGCTCCTCCCTCTGAGTCCCAAGTCCGATCAGTTCACTTCAACCAGCGTCTGTTGTCACAGTGTCTGGCGGCACCCTGCCAGTTCGGCCTCATAGGTGTCATCTTCTCTCTCTTCCAATCAATCAAGCGCCCTGCAGCTGGAATGGTTTCCCAAAAACACTGCTTGTATTGTGGCACAGTGTGGAGAGAACGGTGGGCGCCTGGGGTGGGCGCATGGGAGGCGTGTGCTGAGTCTGACAAGGAGGAACATCTTGGAGAGTAAGGTGTGAGAGAGAAATAGGAAACACAGCCAGGCTGTTTTCAGAAGTCGCGCTCTCCACTGCCTTCCACTGTCTTCAGCTTGCAAATTCCCTTTCCTCTCCTTTTGGCACTTGGACCGGAGGCCTTGGAGCACTTGACATTTCATGGTACTGAATTTGGCGACAGGAAGAGGCAGTCAGAGGCGATAAAACACGGCTCAGGAAACCTCAACTCTTAAGTCCATCCTGGTTTCCGATGCCTGCTGTGGTGGAGGCTCCATCAGACACACATGGTGGCTCTTACGTCTCGGTCTTCCCTCCACTGTTGAAGCCCAGAAGTGAACAGTGGGACACGCACCATCTTTGCTGGCTTTAATCAAAAGAAGAGGATACAGGGAGAGGGGGAAGTGGAATGGGAGGATGGGGACGTCTTGAGTGACGTGGGCTGCTTGTGAGACTCGGCTGTCTTCAGGTGCCCCTCCGGGGCCTAGAATATACCAGCCCGGGCTGAATGGTGGCATATGGTCGCCTGTCAAGAATTCTCCGCTGGGAGTGTGTGGGGTGAGACGTATGAGGATAATAAACTTGCCAGATGGTAGTTACCGGTCCTCGCCCTGTCTCTCACTCTTGGAGGATCTGATGACACCCGCGGGAGTGGGATCCCACGCTGGCTGAAGGGGTATGTGGGTGCCGGTTTTGACCTTGTCAGCTGCTGAGCGCTTCCCCCACTGTCACAGCCCGTCCCTCTCCGTGTGCATGTATGTGCCCTTATGGTCTAGTCGAAAAACAGGTCCCATCCGGCATACGAGCTTGCTGTCGGCACAGCCTGGGAGGCTGGCACAGGCCTCCTGGACCAGCATGCCCTTTGGATGGCTCTTGGTGCCCTTCCTGTTATGGAAATCTTGGTGTAGCCTTGTTCACCATCTCGGACTCCTTACACAGCCCCCCGGTCTCCCTCAGATGTCCCCTGCTTCGCTTCTCCTCCTTTCTCACCTTCTCCGCGGCCATTGGCAGTTAGCTCGTTTCTTGACTCCACGCAGGCCCCTTTGGTCCTTCTCCCTGGTTCCTTGGAAACCTGCTTGAGGTACTCTCTGTTTTGCGAAACCATTAACAGTAAGAGGCTCTGGGACTTGCTTTCAGGGCTGCAGGTGGCTTGGCTAACCCCTGTGGAGACAAGGGTGCCAGAGGTAGGGAGGCGGCGGCTCTCTGGCTGGAGGGGCCACCCGAGTTCCGTGGCATCACCTGTTATTTCAGGGGTCTAGCTGGACGGATACCTGCTCATGACGGAATGTGTACCCTATGCCAGGCGCCGGGCTAGGTGAGGTTGTACTAAGTGAAGAGTGTTCCAGCTCTCCCTAACAGAAGTTAAGTCATTTGTCCAAGGTCAGAAGGTGAAGGAGGTGGGACTCTACCCTTGACCTACCTGCTTTCAAAGCCTCCTAACTTCAACTCGGTGTCACCTTTGTAGATCCCCAAAACACCCTAGAGAGGAGGAGTATTGCCTCGTTTCTAAAGTCCCTTTGTATATTTGCTGAACCCTTAAGCCCGCACCAGGCATTGTGCCGAGCTTGTTACATGTCTTTGCATATTTGTGTCTCCCAGTCACCCCTAAGATGAGTAGTGTTATCTCATATGATAGACGCAGAAGAAAAGTGAGTCTGTGGGAGGTTACTACTCCCCTTGCAAGGGATAGAGTCGACAGTGCACTGATCCCTGACCCCGCCTCTGTGCCCTGTAAACTCCCTCTGTAGTTTGCTCTGTCTGGAACTCTGGGGACATCCACTGCTGAGGCTCGAGGATGCTTGTACCCAAGAAGCCATGATGTCCAAGCCGATGGGTCATTTTGCTTTGGAGCAGGGAGAAGCTAAGGGAAGAGATGGATGACACGCAGAGACTGGGCGGGTGTGATTTCCGAGCACAAAGAGCATTTGGATGTAGAAGTGACACCCAGATTACTTTTTAAGCACCTTTTAATTTGATCCCATCCCTCCCCTTCCAAATTAGGGTGAAGGTTGCCGAACTGTCCCCCTGGCTGGACATGTGGGATTTGACAGCTTGCCCGACCAGCTGGTGAATAAGTCAGTCAGCCAGGGCTTCTGCTTCAACATCCTGTGCGTGGGTGAGTATTTCCATAGCAGGAAATTCTATTACAGAATATGGATCCTTAATGACTGGATTCGGCTTTGCAGGTAATTAGGTTAAATAAGTGTGTCATTGTGATCTATTAGCAAGAGTGTCCCCCCCCTTCTTCTTTTATCCCCCCTGCTCGGTTTTTGGTAAACAACTATCTGTCAGTTCATTTTCCTTGGCCAGAGCTGAATGTGGGGCCCATGCCTTTGGAGAAACTGAGCTGTGTGACATCCGGTGGACATTGGGTAAAGGAGCTGGCTGGTTCAGCCATTGCTGTCAAGTTCGTTCTGATGGTGGAAGACAGGAGCCAGGGAAGACTTGGGAGGGAGCTGATGGCTGCGGAAGGTTGTCAGTCCACCAGCTACAGGCAACGGGTTGGGTCTGTCTGCTTCCTCTGAAGTCCCGCTATGCTTGGTACAGTTTCAGCTCAAGGGCAGGGATCACACAACTGTGTGCAAAGTTCTTTTATTCCCTTTAAGTACCTCTCTGCCTGGACCTTTAGTCTGAAGTGTGGGAACCACATCTTAGTCACTTCTAATGTGCTAATCACAGCACAAAGAGAGTTCACTCCTGTTGAAATGAATGAGAAATAAGTGAATGCATTTGCCCCACAAAAACCACTCATTAGACTACTCAGATACTTTCCCATATTAGCAATTTGGGGCCTTACGAGGCCTCTGAGAAGTGAAGGGAGCCTTTGTACCCTCATGGGACATATGGAGATCCAGACATTTAGGGAGAGCAAGACATTTACCTGAGGCAACACAGAGTAAGTGGCAGAGCCCTGGCAAGAGCCTAGGTCTGGCTGACCCTTTGTTCCTCCCACTGCTTCTCTGACCGCTGCCAACACCATCTCTTGAGAGCACAAAAGCACTTTGGAAACTGCCAAATACCAATCAAACAAATATGAGGGACAACAGTTCCTTGACATTCTTTTAAGAATCTCTTAGACCTTGGAAGTCCCAAATGTGCCAACACGATCTCAGCATATAATTTCCACCGTACAGTGCAGTAACGCATACCCGAATATTTTCAGTGACCTACTTCCAAATCTTAATGATTGTATAAATACCCTAATAAAGCTGGTTTTCACACTGGGCTGGTACACTCAAACACTTTCGCTAATCACCTTTTCTTATTTTCTGTTAGAGCACACGGGGGAACTCATTCATGTTGGGGATCTGAACCACAATGGAACTGGATATTTTACTTTTCAATGTAGTCTAAAGATCTGTTTTTTAACGAAGGTCACTCATTTCCTGGGTCTCTTTACTTTTCCTTCTCCTCTATTCCCAGCACTCTTTTCTAGACCGTTATCTAAGAGAGATAATCTAAGAGCAAGAGAATAATAACTACATACTCAAGGACGAATAGAGAACAGCAAAACCACTTGTAAATACTGATGACGGGCAGTCAGCTAGGGTCTCTCCCTGAGCCGTGCGACTCAGTCCCATCTGACCGGCTTTGGGACAGAAGAGATGAAGGTACATGCCTTGTCGAATGGCTCACCTTAGGTCTCAGAGTGCAGATATAAGCTGTGACTTCTTCAAATGCCAAAAGTCTGTTCATGATTGTGATTAGCTGCTAATTGGAGAGGGACACAGCTAAGTAGAAGTCATGGTGATTGACGTCAAGGTCAAATGCTATCACACCCATTATTAGTGCTGCTGACTCTCTATTTAACCAACAGGAGCTCCTTTGGCTGATGGCCAACTTATTTCACATAATATGTGATTACTGAAAATTTTCCACATCAACATACTGGCTTCCTTTGGTATTCTCCCCAGAGCTCCGTATGACCTGTAGTGAGGTTGAGGAGATGAGACATGAACAAACAGACCCATTCTAAGGAACCTTCCAACCAAGTGCAATTGAGTGGGCTGGTAAAGCTTCAGGAGAGAAGCCATGTAAATCAGAATGGCCCTTTGAGTGCGGAAGCATAGAGTAAGTGGACATGTGGATCATAGACTCCCCTGAGTCCCAGAAGAAGAGACAGCCAAGTTCAAGGCAAAGTGAGTGGGAGAAATAATAAACCACTGTCCTCGAGTTCCCACCCAGGCATTGTACCATTACAGCTGCTTCAGTGTGCCCCTGCTGGGATGGAATTTCTCAATTGCCTGGGCCAGACTTTCCAAGAGGGGTGAGGTAGCAAGGAGACCCCTTACCCCCAGTGAGTCATCCCCTCTCTTTCTTTTTTTTTTTTTTTTTTATATATAGAGGCATGTTTTATTTATTTATTTGTTTGTTTATACATGCATTGGGTACAGTCAGAAGCACGGGAGGGTGAGAGAATTCACCAGAGCCAGAGCGGGGAACAGAACAGGCAGAAGGACCGAAGTACACTGCTGAGGGGAGCAGCGGGCGGCAGGAGAGGTCTGCGCGCCATGTGGGACCCTCCTCCGGTGGCCAAGGAGCAGCCGGGGATCGAACCGGCGCCGCAGAGACCGCGGGCAGCTTCGCAACCCAGCGTTCAACCACTGCGCCACTGGGGAGGCCCCATCCCCTCTCTTTCTTTCTCTACTTGTCAAGCTTCAGGAAATGGCGGCCCTGAAAACTCCCTTCTCAGCCCTGCAGGGGCAACTATGGGATGCACCAGCCTGGATTGGGTTAATTACGTCCTCCATCCCCAGCCGAAAAAAGCCTCTAACTTACCCGCTTTGCTCTCTGGCTGATGCTCATACCCTGTCATTGCCCAGGGAACCCTCAATTTGGGCCAAGGTCAAGAGGCTTAGAGTGACTCAAAGGTTGCAATTTCAGCCCAGCCGTGGGGCAGGGTCTGTCACTGAGGGTTCATAGGAGGCTGCCACAAGTGGTCTTTTCTCCCCAGGACTTCCAGTCATCATACGTCATGCCTCCTGCCTGTGCGTAACTCAGCTCTCCTTTTTTTTTTTGCTCTCCCCCTCAGCTTTCCTCCATTAATGACTGTTGTGAGATAATGATTCTATGTAGGCATAGAAGATGTTCCCCCAAAGGATTTTTGTTTGTTTTCTGATCAGGCATTTTAAGTGTAAAATTATGGTAGCACTAGCTTTGATTATTCACAGAGTCCTAAGATATTTTTATCACAGTATTTTTTTTAAGATTTATTTATTTATATAAGGACTGGGGTACAGGCCAGATGCACGGAAGGGTGAGAGGATTCACCAGAGAGAGTGGGGAACTGAACAGGCAGATGGACAAAATACACTGCTGAGGGGAGCAGCGGGTGAGACAGGAGAGCTTCACAGTGCAGACAGCTTCACAGTGCAGTGCTCAACCACCTGCACCACCAGGGAGGCCCCACAGTATTTTTTTTATCCAGATGCTGGGCTGCTGATCATAGATACTAGCCCAGCAGAGTAAGTACCTCACTCGTGTGTGCCTGTTGGGACTGAGAGAATTTTTATGAACCTAGAGCTCACTTCGTATGTAAGGGTGCTGATAAATGGCACCTATAGTTACTCTTTTTAGAAGACCAGGCACACAGTTGAGACCATGTTATGATTCCTCGCCAGCAGATTCTCTCAGGTTGACAATAGTAATTGGAGTGAGGTTCCCCTCCCCCCATAAAAACATCCCCTAGTCCCTTAGGTTGGCAATCGCCAGGATCCCATGATTCTCGATACAGTACAGGAGGCTTCATAGGAACCTCCCAAGCTGGCAGGACAAATATTCAGGAGCCCATTGCTTTGGACAGCTGGGAAAGCACCCCAAAGAGACTGAGCCCTCCAAATGTGCCAGCAACAGTCATGCCTATGAGGAGCACAAAGGGTCATAATGATAATATTTACTTTGAAGCTGCTCAAGATTCCAGGCTCAATTGGGCTCTGTTGAACTTGGAAAACACACACACAAGAGAATTCGGATTGAGGCTCACTCCTGGGGGATGGGAAGGGCAGCTAGCCCTCTATCAAGGTCAGGGATCAGTTGTACCTGTTCACCTGTTTAAGCCAGGCTGCCTGTTGTGGTGGCCAGGGTTGAAAAAATCCACTCTCAGGAAGAAAACTGGTTATAACGTTTACCAGCTCAGGGTGTTGTGATTCCCACCATAGCTGATTTTAAGCCACCAATATGACGTCACCGTCCGTAGTCTTGGGAAGAGTTACAGGAAACAGGGAAAGCTGGCTCCACTCTCCTGTTGGCCAGTTTGCTTGCCAGGACTCTGCAAGTTCAAAGAGAAGAGGGCAAGGTCCCAGAGCCAGGCTTGACCTCGTCATCCCTGTCTGTAGGCTCTCCTGGCCAGCTGGAGTCCCTGGAGAGCTCAGTTCTGCTGAACTCAGGGCTGTTTCCCTCAGTTTATTCCAACATTCAGAGTGAGAAGGGACTTAGGCTCCAAGTGAGTGTGAGCTCCAGGCGTACAGGGGTCATGGCTGTCTTGTTCCTGGCTCTGTAATTCATGCTCGGCTCCTAGCACTGTGCCTGGCTCCTATTAGTAGAGACTTTCTAAATATTTGTTGACTGACCAAATGAATCAGCATATCATGCCTGAAGCCCGTTGGCTATAAGCTTGGCCTCCAGGGCCAGACTGTGCATTCAAATGCTGGCTTGGCCACTTACTACTTTGTGACCCCGGAGAGGTACTTCATTCATATTTTACAGATGAGGAAGGCAGGAACAGTGAGATCGAGGACCTGGGATAAATTCACACAGCCAGAAAGTGGCTTGGTTTTCCCATCTGTAAGCTGAGGACAAGTGATAGCATCTCCCTCATAGGCTTGTTGTGGGGAAGAGGTGAGGAAATAGACGTCAGGTACTTAGAGCCGTGGGGGTCTGCCACTTAGCAAGGGCTCCATGAGTGATGGCTGTTTTTATATTTTTTTAAAGATTTATATATTTATGCATATAAGAACTAGAGTGTAAGCCAGAGATGTTGGGGGGGGTGGTGGTGAGAGGATTCACCAGAGAGAGTGGGGAGCAGAACAGGCAGATTGACTGAAATACACTGCTGAGGGGAGCAGCAGGCGAGTCAGGAGAGGTCTGCTGCACCGTGTGGGTAGCTCCCTGGCCGGCCGGGGATCGAACTCTGTGCTGCAGGGGCTGGCGATAGCTTGATCGCACTGTCTTTAACCCCTGCGCCACCAGGGAGGCCCATGATGGCTATTTTTATAACTCCAACCTGCTCATTTTATGGGAAAGGGAATTTGGGGCCCAGAGAGGGGAAAGGGCTCAAACCAAGGCTGCGTAGTCATGTGGTGATACCCTGGCTGGGGCTCTGCACTTCATGACTTGTGAGGACTTTTAATTTAAGTGCTAAGGGAATGCAAATCTTAATAACAAACAAAGAGCTTGCATTTTCTTTTGCTTGATGCTTTTCTTTATGACCGTGATTTTTAGTGATTTTTAACAGCGTAGAGAGGTCAGCATCAACCTATCCCAGGGAGTACAGTTTGAAAAAACATCTTTTCACAATACATGTTTTCAGTTAAAATTCTATTTTTTAAAAAAACCTGTTTCTTCCCGAATACTATCTCCATGAAGCAAAGTGAGATGAAATTCTCTCACCGGCGGAGATGACTTAAAAAGGGTTAAGAAACCCTGCTGTCCACCATGAGAAGAAGGCGGGAGGAGAGAGAAATTGACCCCTGGGGACGCCTCAGCTTTCCTGCTGGAATCTGATTGCCAGACCCCACCTTCCTGCAGGGATGTGGAATCTGCTGAGCCCATTCGAGTTAGCCCCACCCCTACTCAGTACTGGTGCTAGGGCAGTGTGGGAGGGGACAGCGTTCTAGGCACAGGCTGGGTCTGTGGCAGCCATTGAGAAAGCCTGGGCGCCACACCGATGGAAATGTGGGATGGGCCCCGCCATAGCCATGGGATGTGGCTCGATCTCCTGCTCTCCTCTCTTGTTGCATTTGTCATGATTCCCTGGACACCTGCCGGTTCTTTTCTTCCAGACATTCATCACTGGGCATCTAATTTCCACAACCCTTTGTGCTGGCAGGGCTCCGGGTGGTCATTTTCCATGCTGTTCCTCCCTGCTGCCTTGCCCAGCCCTGCCCTGCCCTGCCCAGCAGGCCAGGACCTCCCGTACTCCAGCTGTGCAAACTGGGGTGCCTCACTCTGTAGGACTGCTCCTGAGGCCCATGTGCCCCTCCTCAGGAAGATGCCCCAGATGGGTGTTCCCCAAGAGTCCTTAGAATCAAGGAGCCAGCTCAGTGTCGGTGGGACAAGGCCCAGCGCTCTCTGGTAGCTTTGGGCCATTCCACAAGCAGCTCCTGGAACACAAGAGGGAGTGGAGGTGGGGGTGTCCATGGAAAACTCATTAGACACTTCCAGAGATGACTGAAAAGTAACGCCAGTGCCAGGAGGGAAGGCCAAATGGGGGAAGGAGCGGTCCTTGGTGTCCTGCCTCAAGGGAGCTGGTCCCATCGGCACCCCTCCCTTGGGCACAATGGTGGGGCTGATACATTCCATGGCTTGGCCAAGTTTACCACCTCCCATGGCAAAGGCCCCACCTCACCAAATTTTCTTGGGACCTAAATACTTCCTATTCCTTTGTGGAGGGAAAAGGAGACCTCCTCTGGGAGGATCCGTGTTGCTAATGGGTATAGCAGACCCTGGCTGGAAACATGATCTGTGCGAGGATCCTTTTTTCTGCACCCTGGCAATCAACCACATCCGTCAGGCCCAGCTACGAAATTGGGCTGGGAGGCCGGGTAGCCAGGTCGAGTTGAATGTTCTCCTTATTCTCTCTCTCTTTCTCTCTCTCTCTCTCTCTCTCTCTCTCTCTCTCTCTCTCTCTCTCTCTCTCGTGCGCGCGCGCGCACACACACAAACACACACACAGAAAGTTCTCATAGATAGATATTTCACAAAACACCTCCCTGTCATAGCTCATTATTTTGGATCAAAGAGGCATGGAAGATGCAAAGCTATACCCCCCGCCCAGAGGGTGGGACGGGACAGACCCTTTGCAGTTTTATGTGTGTGTATCCCTGATTCCTGGACTGCTTTGCAGATACGTGCTGCTGGGGGTGGGGGGTGGTTGGCAGGTCAAGATTGGCCCAGAGCAAACCCACTTCCCACGGTGAAGACAGGTCAATGCCCGCATCTCAGAGGTTGGGAAGGGGGAGGGGAAGTGAAAGGTGATGTGGCAGAATAGCAGGTAGTCTATGCACAGGTTTCTCTGCTGTCCCGAAGTAGACTATTCTTATTTGACAGGATTTGGTAGGTTATTTTGGGGTTTGGAACACTCAAAAAATTTCCATATAAATTAATGGTAGAGTTCCCAGACCCAACAAATAGCCTACCAAATCCTGCCAAACACACGCCAACTTTCGGGTGACAGGGGAAATTGTATACAAAGAGCAGTCCAAGGTCATTAACAACTGAGTCTTTTGTTACGGGAATTCCTGAATTGCTTTGGGTGGATACAGGCTAGATCCATGGAGACTTAAAAGGCTGTAATGCCCAGTCCAGCTCGTGGTCTCATGTCAGTTTCCTGCCTGACTCTTGCTACCAGTTCCCCTTCAGTGTCTTCATTCCCCAAAGACTCCTTGGCTCCTGGCTGTAGCTTGATATTCCTTGGGTCTCTCAGGAAAAACCTTCAAAAACTTTCTGTAGTCCCCCACAACCCTCCCCCCACTCGTTTCCCTGGTGTGAAAATCAAGACTTTTGAAATTCCAGTGGTTTAATTTATCAATATTCTGTAGCCTGTTAGTTAAACAAACAAATGACTGGTTTGTTTGAAATTTAAAGAGAAAAATAATTTGTGGCCTGCTAAACCTCCCACCCACCACCTTAGCTACAAATGAACTCACTGAAAGCTCCACTGGGCTAGGAAGAGAAGTCTCCAACTGGGATACACATCCAGGCATCCAAGGAAACTTGTAGAAAACACAGAAAAGCATTAAAAAAAAAAGAAGTGAAAACCACACTTCATCCCTACTGCCCAGAGAAAACCGTTGGTAAGAGTACGCTGTATTTCCCTGCAGGCTTTTTCTAGATACAACTCTACCTCTCCACCACTGCCCATAACGTGGATTCTTCTTCCGACTCTAAAAGCCGTACATAGGCAGTTTTCAAATAACTCAAACAATATGAAGGTTAAAGTAAAATGACTCCAGTCCCACAACCCAGAGGTGGCTACTGCTGATACTTTTGTGTGGCTTTTTTCCATCTTCCTCACTTAACTCAGATTGTGCAGTCTATAGAGATCTAGCTGGTGTTTTATTAGTACATTTTCTCATGTCAGTGAAATGCACCCGAGCCATGATGTATAATGGTGACATAGTGATTGTGTGAATGGAACATAATCTGTGCGTTTGCTTTTTAGGAGAAACAGGTTTGGGCAAGTCCACCCTTATGGATACCCTATTCAACACCAAGTTCGAGGGGGAGCCAGCCACTCACACACAACCAGGTGTCCAGCTCCGGTCCAATACCTATGACCTTCAAGAGAGCAACGTGGGGCTAAAGCTCACAATTGTTAGCACGGTGGGCTTTGGGGACCAGATCAACAAGGAGGACAGGTAAGGAGGGCAGTTGGTGGGGGGCTATGGGGAGGAGCTCAGCATGGGAGTCCAGCTTGGACCCCCTCTCAGAACTGGGTGGGCAGGCAGCAGACACCTCACAAACACCGCCTCCACCTAGGGTCCCTGTCTATAGCAACTGTTCTATTCCATATGCATTGCCAAAGAAGGGTGTCTTTCCAGTCTACATGGGTGAGGTGTCCATACCATTGGCAGACATTTATTGAGGTCTTACTTTGTGCCAGGCACTGCAGGTCTCTGATAATCTAATAGGGAACAACTTGGTCTCTGCCCTTGAGATGCTTACAGGAAAGACTGGTGTTAAAAAAATCGGTTCTAGGGCCTCCCAGGTGGCGCAGCGGTAGAGCGCTGGGTTGTGAAGCTGCCCGCGGCCTCTGTGGCGCCGGTTCGATCCCCGGCTGCTCCCCAGCCACCGGAGGAGGGTCCCACATGGCGCGCAGACCTCTCCTGCCGCCCGCTGCTCCCCTCAGCAGTGTACTTTGGTCCTTCTGCCTGCTCTGCTCCCCACTCTGGCTCTGGTGAATTCTTTCACCCTCCCGCGCTTCTGACTGTACCCAGTGCATGTATAAACAAAACAAACAAACAAACAAATAAATAAATAAAAAAACATGCCTCTATTAAAAAAAAAATTGGTTCTATCGGGCCTGATATGCCCTGTAAAGGTAGGATCCAAAGAGATAAAGCACAAGTTACAAAAAGGAGAGGGTAGTCAATTCCACGTGAGAAGTCAAGGAAGGCTTCATCGAGGAGGAGCCTCCTGATCCGGCCCTTGAAGGATAAACTGTTTTGCCCAGACAGACAAGGGAAGGGAGGGATGGACAATCCAGGCAGAGGTAACTGCTTGTACAGCAACAAAGAGATGTGGCATGTTCTAGGGTACCACAGGTCATTCTGTTTGGTTAGACCAGAGGCAGAGGTATTGTGCAGCTAATGAAGCTAAAGCTTCAGTGCCCTCACTTGCACAGGCCCTTCCAAGGCCTTATCTCCAATTTTTAGTGATAATGTTGTATTATCATTCTTGGAGGACCTTTCAAATCATATATGCTTTAGACCCTGCAATACCTAGGTGTGCCCCTGGGTTAGTGAGTGAGCTAGGGGACTAGCAGGGGGAGATGTATGTGAAGAGGTATGCAGGGGCCAGATCATGGATAGGTTTCTAGAATGTGCAGATAGGAAGCCAGTGGAAGATATTAAGAAGCAGAATATTATAGTCTGGTTGGCCTTTGAAGAACATACTTTGGAATAGTACGGGATAGACTGGAGAACAAGAAGACCAACTGGGAGATTGTTAGGCCAGTTAGGTCAAGGCAGTGGTAAAACAGTTACTGAGATAGGGAAGAGGATACAGATATGATCAGTATGGGGCGGGCCGAACCAATAGGACTTGGTAGAGACTTCGTGTGAGATTGTGAAGGCAAAAGAAGAATCTCGAGTGAGATCTAGATTTCTGGCTTAGGAAAGTGGACAAATGGAGAGGTAATAAGAGAGAACCAGGTTTTAAGAGACTCAGTCTGTTGAATTTGAACTATCTATGGTCTGTCGAGAGATACGATGACCTTTGGCCCCAGGCAAGTGGATATACAAGGTTCAAGGTCAGGAGAACATCTGGACTGGACATATATATTTGGGTCATCAAGGTATAGGTGATATATTCTCATTTGTAAGATTACCCAGAGATCAGTAGGGCAAGATGAACACTGGGCTAAAGGCAAAAACCTTGGGCTGTTAAGTCAGCAGATGGAAGAAAAGCATCCTGTGAAAAAGCTGAACAGGAATAAACAAAGAGGTAAGAGGAGAGACTGAGGGTGGGGATTGAGAATGGTGTGTGAAGCAGGGGTGGGGCAAGGCTCAGAGATGGGGATGTGATAAGTGCTGCAGTCAAGAAAGGATTGGGGGTCAGGTACCTTCTGTATTTAAACAGAAGTCACATGGTTACACTTGTGTTCAGCTCAGAAAAGGCCATTCATCATCTTGAGCCAAGTGTCTGCTCATTCTTTGAGGATTCTCTTGCTTAAGAAGAGAGGAACTGTATCTCAGATTCTCCTGTTTCTCCCTTAATGTTACAAGAACCATACTCATTTCCTTATAAATATATTTAACGTCTTAGTAATTGAACTGAATTTTGTTTTCACTTGGAATTCTAGGACACCTCTTTCGGTTCAGAATGAATTAGACCCTGGGCACGGGGATATTTGGGCCACCATATGCGTGCTTAATCTCAGCTGTGTGTAGCTCAGGAGCTCATCAGTTATAATCTCACACTTCTTTCAGGTACATACATTCAATACCCAACACTGGAAAATGCCTTGGTAATGATGGTTTGGGAAGACTGAAGTGGTATGGCCTCTTAAAAAGCTAATCTACTTCCATTATATATATATATATTTTTTTTTTAAAGATTTATTTATTTATTTATACAAGCACTGGGTATAGTCAGAAGCGCGGGAGGGTGAGAGAATTCACCAGAGCCAGAGCGGGAAGCAGAGCAGGCAGAAGGACGGAGGTACACCGCTGAGGGGGAGCAGCGGGCGGCAGGAGAGGTCTGCGCTCCATGTGGGACCCTCCTTTGGTGGCCGGGGAGCAGCCGGGGATCGAACCGGTGCTGCAGAGGCTGCGGGCAACTTCGCAACGCAGCGCTCAACCGTTGCGCCACCGGGGAGGCCCCTACTTCCATTATATTTTTAATAACCGTATTGTTTTTTCCTGATTATGAATGCAATACACTCTCATACAAAATCAAATAATACAAACTTGATTAAGTAGAAATGAAAAACCTCCTTCAAAGTGGACTGGGGAGCAGGGGTGGAGTAAGCTCCATGGATTTGTACTAAAAAGCAGTGCTTTGGGCATGGCCAGGACGGTGTGAGCATAGATAAGTCAGTGTGGCTGCATTAGAACTGCTTTTCCCAGGGTGAATGGGTAGGCTGCGAAGATCAGTGACTGAGGCTGGATCCTGCAGAAGCCACCATTAAAAAAAAATTGCAGTAAAAGGAACCCAAGAGGGAGAATGCGAAGGACAGACTGGAAAAGGCATGCTTAGGAACTTAGACTTTGGATTCAGACAGACCTGGGTTCAAATCCCATCTTGCTATTTAATAGTCCAGGGATCTCGAACAAGACAAAGTCTCTATGCCTCAGCTTTCTTGCCTGTAATGTGGAGCAATGATAACATTAATATCTGCCTTAGAGTGTTACGGTGAGACATGTCATATGTGGCCTATGTGACATATTAAGCATATGCTTAAATAGTGCCTGACACAGAGTAGTAAACAGAAGACATTATCATCATCATGACCTTTATTGTAGAAGGATCAAAGGAGAAGTATAAGTATCACAGAGAATATGGAATAGAATGATAAATGGTGTCCAGGAAGAGAAAAACTGGAAAATATCCATGGAGTTTGGCTACATGAAGGTCATTCATACACTTAAGAATAATAATTCCAAGGGAATTGTGGGTAGAGACTACATTGCCATAATTGCTGAGTGAATGGGACGTAATAGCAAAAAGAACAATAGACCAGAAAAGTGATTGCAAGATCATATTCATGTTTATATAAGAATTTAGTATATATAACTCAGCAGGGAAAGAATGGACTATTCCAGATATGGTGCTGGGAAAATAGACCATCCATTAGGAAAAAAATAAAATGAGGTCCTCCCACATAAATATCATTCACAAAAATAGATTCCAGTTGGATTAAACACAAATTCTAAAAATATAGGAGAATATTTTTAAATTGGGGTAGAGAAGGCTTTTCTAGTCTTGGCATAAAAATTGAAAAGTCACAGAAGAAAAGACTGACAGATTTAAATTCATAAAAGTAAAAAAACTTGTATGATATGAACAAAAATTTATGAACAAAAGTAAAAGTGAACTGCACATGGGGAGAAATATTTGCAAGCTATATAACAGAATTTTTCTAAAGTATATAAACAGCATGTACAATTCAATGAGAAGTTAAAAGGTAATTGACAGACAGAAGGGGAAATAGAAATAAATGGTCAATCAACATATCAGATGATGCTCATTCAACATCACTAGTGATTAGTGAAATGCAAAATGAAACAATGAAGTATTTTTATCCATCAGATTTAGAACAGTTAAAGATTAAAGAAATAATATCCACTAATACCATGTAATTTTTTTAAAGATTTATTTATGTATGCAACAAGAACTGGGGTACAGGCCAGAGGTATGGGGTGTGAAAGGATTCACCAGGGACAGAGTAGGGAACAGAACAGGCAGACTGATGAAATACACTGCAGCGGGCACGACAGGAGAGGTCTGACAGGAGAGGTCTGACAGGAGAGGTCTGCCGCACCATGTGGGAATCTCCCTCGCTGGCCGGGAATCGAACTGGCGCTGCAAAGGCTGCAGACAGCTTCACAGCGCGGCTTATTATATGTGGTACCTAAAGAAATGAAAGAAACAAACAAACTAAATAAAACAAAAAAACCCTTCTAGTTTGTAAAACCGAAATTGTGCTTAGCAGGAGGAAGGGGAAAAAGGGAGGGGGAGGTTGGGTAAAGAGGGGTCAATTCTATGGTGACGGATAGAATTGAACTAGGTGAACGTAGCAGAGTATATACAGATGCTGATTTGTAATGATTATAATGACCATAATAACTGTGATTATAATGATTCACACCTGAAATTTATCTGTTGTAATGCGATGTTACTTCAACAAAAAAAAAAATTAAAAAGAAAAGCATTCACAGAGGTAAAATTATTATTTATCTATAATATGATTATTTATAAAAACCAAGTAACTAACTGAAAAACAATTCCAATGAACAATAGTTCAGTAAGGTAGCCGGTTTCAAAATAAACATGCAGAAAGACTTCATATCAACCAACAATAAGCAATTAGAAAACATAATGGAACAAAAGACCCCACAAAACCCTACATTATCTGTCCCCTGCTGCATCACCTACTTTGTCTCTTATTATTCTTTTTTTTTAATTGAGGGGTTATTCATGTAACATAAAATTAACTCTTTTAAAGTGAACAATTCAGTGGCATTTAATACATTCACAGTGTTGTGCATCCGACACCTCTATTTCCATCACCCCAAAAGGAAACTCATTAAACTCTAATGCCCCATTCCCCTCTTCCCAGATAACCACTATTTTCTATCTTGATGAGTCTGATCATTTTAGTATCTCACGTAAGTTGAATGGTGTGATAGTTGTCCTTACGTTTCTGACATCTTGCCCTTACAGTGTTTTCAAGGTTCAGCCATGTGGAGGGGGTGTGTCCAACTTTCCTTCCCTTTAATAGCTGAGTAATACTCTAATGCATGAATATTCTATTTGAATAATTTTTAAGGAATTATTTATTTATGCATACAAGAACTGGAGTACAGGCCAGAAGTGCGAGGGGTGAGAGGATTCACCAGAGACAGAGTGGGGAACAGAACGGGCAGACTGGCCGAAGTACACTGCTGAGGGGAGCAGCGGGCGAGTTAGGAGTTAGGAGAGATCTGCTGCGCCATGTGGGTTGCTCCCTGGCCAGCCGGGGATCGAACTCGTGCTTCAAGAGGCTGTGGATTGCTTCAAGGTGCTGTACTTAACCCCTTGTGCCACCTGGGAGGCCCTATTTGAATATTTTTTTATGAATATTCTATTTTGGATATTTCCATTCTCTCGTTTATCCAGTCATCAGTTGATGGGCATTGGGGTTGGTTCCACCTTACTGGCTATTGTGGATAGTTTATTGTTCTTCCTTCGTGCTCTAACTCCCAGCTCCCAGCCCTCTTCCCAGTGCTCAAATCTGTCAAGCTCGTTTCTGCCTGAGGACCATCGCGTTTGTTAGTCCCTCTGCCTGGAAAGCTCTTTTCCCACATCTCTCCAGGGCTTTCACATTGTCATCCTTGCAGCTCACATGTCACATCCTCCAAGAAGCTTCCCTGATCCCTGTATTTAAGGTAGCTGAGCCCTCAGTCACTTTTTATGCCATTATCCTGTTTTATTGTCTTAGTGGTGCATAGAGCTATCTGAGATGAAGAAGTGGTTTTGTGCCTTTGACTCTTTTTTTTTTTTTAAAGATTTATTTATTTATGCATACATGAGCTGGGGTACAGGCCAGAGATGCGGGGGGTGAGAGGATCCACCAGAGACAGAGCGGGGAACAGAACAGGCAGACTGACCAAAATACACTGCTGAGGGGAGCAGCGGGCAAGACAGGAGAGGTCTGCCTTGCCATGTGGGTTTCTCCCTGGCCGGCCGGGGATCGAACTCGTGCTGCAGAGGCTGTGGATTGTATCACAGTGCAGTGCTTAACCCCTTGCACCACCAGGGAGGCCCTGTGCCTTTGACTTTTTAGCAACCTAGCGAGGCCTATGAGATCATTCTCAGAAGAACATTTTTAAATGCCTAACTTACAACAATTGTGTTAAAAATACAGTTAGCAAAATATTTAAAATTGTGATTTAGTAACCCATGTGCTTCTTTATTAATTCCTGAAATAATAATATCTACATGCAGGCCTAATAATATCATAAATTAGAAGCTGTGATGAGTATAAATGTAATTTTGAGATATTTCAAGAACTGTAATTGGGAACAAAAATATAAGTGATTATTTGTTGGTTATGAAATCATAGCTACTGCTAAAATTACTGTAGATGGTTACTTTTGTTTTTACCTGTTCGGTACTCTAAACTTCTGTTTAGTGGGGGAAAAAAATGTGGTTTTTTTTTTAATCCTATTCAAGTTCAAGGACCCCAGGTTAAAACCTCTGCCCTGAAAAACAAAGGATAAATAGTAGTGATGAGGAGGGGCCGGGTGTGTTAGAGCTGGGTCTTGTGGGCGAAGGAAGAGATGATAGTAAGCCAGGCAACAATGAAGAAAGCTGCCCTCTTCACCCCCTTATGGAACTTGACTGTGGGACATGTAGAAATTTCCAGTTGAGAAAGATACGTGGGAAGCAGCATCTTTGAAAAGCAGTCAGGTATCACTTAGAGAAAGGATGTATTTTTTTGTGAGGAGTTTCCTTTGAGAGGAAGAGATTTTGTTTACCAGGGACTGGAGTCCAGTGAGGAAAGCAGAGTGGGGAGAGGCCTGGCACCCGTGGGAAGGTGAACCACCGGGTGTGGGGGTGAGAGAGCAGAGTGGTTGGTGGAACCCCTACATAGATTCCAGATATCATACTGGATACAGAAGATAGGAAAGTGGATAAAGCAATAAAGAATCTCACATGTAGGATTAGTCTAAACCCAATCCCGATGCTTGATTAGCTGGTTTTGCTGATCTGACCATGCATCTCTTCAGAGACCCTAAGGGCCAGAAGCAGCAGCAGAAAGACAGGCCCAGGGGTGGGGTAGGGTTGGGAGGGGGAAGCGAATATTTCAATCTTTTCTTTCCTCCTTTGATTCCTTTTGCAGAGCAAAACAAAAAACAAAAAGCTATGTAATGAGAAAAAAAAAAATGAAGCTGTGACATGATCCCGTCATTCAAACCAGCCAGTCATCCAAAAATTAATCAGCTGAGCTTAAGGGATGCATCCTCCACCGTCATTCCTAATTCTTCAGGAACCTTCTAAAGATCTTTGCAACCCAGAGATTCTTTGATGCTGTTACCCTTTAGAACAGTGTCTGGCTCAGAGGGATCAAAGGAGGAAAGAAAGGACTGTATTTTTAGATTTTTCTCTGGGGCTCCAGAGCTCCCCTGCACCTGATCTCTTCTCTGTGTGTAACTCTCGGGGTCTAGGTTTCTGTGATTCTTTTTTAAAAAGCTATTTTCCCTTCTCTACCAGGGGGATCTTTCAAGATGGCTCAGGTTGGGGGCTGTTACAGGTGGAAGGCGTTGGCTGGGCCCTGCTCCTCTTTGATTGTGTTCTCTTCCGGCAGCGTTAGCTGTATCCTCACTGCCTCTGGTCGGATAACGAACCTCTTCTAGCCTGAAGGGAGGAAAGTCTGGATGGAGAGGCAGTGGACAGACAGGTTGATAACAGAGGCAGGGCTGAAGCTAAGCTGACCTAGTTAGGGCAGAAAGAGGCTGCAGGGGTGGCAGGAGTAGCTGGGAGGGGACAGAGAAGCTCCCACCACTGGAGGAACAGAGGACTAACTATTGTTTAAGGCCTAGCCAGAAGTGAAGTTCACAAAGGGGAGTTTTGCCTGGGGCCTCAGTGAACTTGTGGTAGAGGTGAGGCTGGGGGCAGGGGTGAGAGTATCGCACCAAATTTTTCCAGATGCTTAGATTTTAAAATGACAACCTTGGAGGCACTGAGAATTAGAAAAATATCTGGAGTTTAGGGGATCCAAGTGGGGAGCTCCAATAAACACTGAGTGTTCTGACAGGATTTCTCAATAGTGGGTCAAGGAAAGGTCCTGACCTCCACTGAGTACCCAGCTCCCATTCCGGGCAGTGGGTGGGGGCATGGAGACACAGGAATGGAAGTCATGGACCAGCCTGGACCTCAGTCAGCCCATCCACAGATATTGCCAGTGGGGTCCATACAGCATCAGGGCACATGGGAGATAGAAAAGTGGCCTCCACAATCCCTGACCTTTTGAAGAAAGCAGTCTGTTTGCAGGAACATGAATCCTTGTGAAGGAACCGGTAGGCGACTCAATTGCATAAACATTTTTTTTCTTGGGTTCCTGAGCCACTGAAGGGATTTCTGACATCATTGCTGAAGGCTGTCTGGAGGAGGTGGCATTCAGTTGAGCCTTGAGTCTGGAAGGACAGGTTTGGGATGTGAATGAGGCACATCTAGGGACTTAAGTTTGTCTCAAGGAGACTAAGGGGGTGGTCAGCCTGATGGGATGGGAGGAATCCCGCTGGATGGGGAAGAGACATGACCGAAGGCATTTTAAGCTTCCTTTTAGAAGTGTTGTTTTTTTTTTAATTTTTTTATATTTATTTGTGCATACAAGAACTGGGATGTAAGCCAGAGGTGTAGGAGGGTGAGAGGATTCACCAGAGACAGAGTGGGGAACAGAACAGGCAGATGGACTGAAATACACTGCTGAGGGGAGCAGTGGGTGAGACAGGAGAGGTCTGCTGCGGCATGTGGGTCAGCTCCCTGGCCGGGGATCGAACTAATGCCACAGTGGCTGGTGATAGCTTGATAACGCTGAGACTTTAACCCCTCCACCAGCAGGGACACCCTACAAGTGGTTTTTGAAGTGATTCAGCCATCTCCCTTCCCTCCCCTTTAGCTATAAACCCATTGTGGAATTCATCGACGCCCAGTTCGAGGCATACCTGCAGGAGGAGCTGAAGATCCGCAGGGTGCTGCACAGCTACCACGACTCCCGCATCCATGCCTGCTTGTACTTCATTGCCCCCACGGGTCACTCCCTGAAGTCACTGGACCTGGTGACGATGAAGAAGCTGGACAGTAAGGTATGGTGTAGGGGCAGCCCGATGGCTGGTAGGAGGCTGGGCAAGCTGGACTCACTCTTACTATTCCCTTGTGTAAAGCAGGTGGCAGATTCTAGGTAGAGGTTTTGTGGCTTCCTCATCCTTTCCATTTCCTGTCCCTCCATAAAGGTGGTGATGTTGGGCCTCCCCTGGTGGCGCAGTGGTTGAGCACTGGGTTGAGAGGCTGCCCGCAGGCTCTGCAGCGCCAGTTCTATCCCCGGCCACCAGCGAGGGTCCCACAAAAATAAATAAATAAATAAACAGATAGATAAAAAGGTGGTGATATTGCTCCAGCGCCTGCGTCATAGACTTGGTGATCTGTTTCCCCAGCGCTGGGCATGGATTTGCCCTGAGTTGTCTTGCCCTGATCCCTCTTGGGAGTGAGTGTAGAAGCAAGCAAGATGATTGTCTGGGTTTAAGGGCTCAGGCTTTACAATAGAAAATTGTTTTTGCTTTGTGTGAACATTAACTGACCTGTACTAGAAGCAAACATGTGAAGTTGACTTTGGAAGTTACTCTTATCAAGAAGAATTTCATAGTAGCAGCGAACATTCCTTGAACTCTCATTATGTGCCATCACTGTGCTAAGTACCTCATGGAGTATTTCACAGGATCCTTGCTACAACCCTAGAATGCAAACCCTATCATTATCTCCCGTTTTACAGGAGAGGAAGCTGAGGCACAGAAAGGTTAAATGTCATAAAAGCAAAGCGACTGGCCAGAGCCTAAAATCAAACCCTGATCTGTGTGCCATGCTGTATTGCCAGCATCCCTGAAAAAGACCTCTGGGCATCAGGCTTGTCCTGCTTGAAGAGAAACTGAAAAATGCAAAGCCCACCACAGATATAAACTAGACAGTGAATCTTCATGTTAAAAGATCATTTGCTTGGGCCTCCCCTGGTGGTGCAGTGGTTGAGCGCTGGGCTGCGTGGCTGCCTGCAGCCTCTACAGCGCCGGTTCATTCCCCGGCCAACGGCAAGGGTCCCACAAAAAAAAAAGAAAAAAAAAAAAGGTCATTTGCTGTATAAAAGTATTGATCACAGATTCTTTAAAAAGCCTAATTACTAGTACATTTTCTCCCTCACCTATTGTATGTGTTTGATGCTGTGACGAATACTCTACATGAGTTATTTTATTTCATCTTTCCAGTAATGGTGGCCCCTATTATATTCCCATTTTAAATATGAGGAAACTGAGGCACAGAGCGCCAAATAGCCTGCTCAGGATCGGACAACTTGTCACGGGCCTGGGTTCTGGACCTAGCTCTCTCTGACTCCAAGAATGCTTTATTTTACAAAAACAAAAAAAAAACCCTAATTTGTGCACAGTTACCTAGTAGCACATGCACTATAAAAACTGAATTTCTGGTATAATCGAAACAGGAGCCTTTTTTCATCTTCTGCAGTAAGCTCACTGCCATGCTGGATAGGGCGGCTGCCATGCAGCTGGTGGCCTGGTGGGTGGGCTGGTTAAGTAGCAGCTTTTGGCATATGTTTATAGTGTGCGACGCGGGCGTGGTGAAAAGCAGCGAGGAGAATCGGCTCTGCCTGCTGCTCCATCATGGCAAGGGCTTTGACCCTCAATACCCTCCTCCAAAGACTTCAAGGGAGGTACCTCCAAGGTCTGATCTTTCTTTGACCCAGCACTGGAAGTCCCGTGCAGTTTAGTGGCACTGCTAAGGCAAAGTGCAGAGGAGGCAGAATTTGTGTCCCAAGTCTAGCACTCCCCAGAACTCCCTTTCAGAGCTTTCAGTTACTGTGCCCCATCCATGTCACCCCCTTGGTGTCTGCTGGCAGGAACGGCTGTGCTCTCCATGTGACTCTGAGCTCTGTGCATTTCAAGATCCTTTACCTTCTGACAGTAAAAGCTTTGTCCCTTCTCAAAAGAATTCCAAGGATCAGGGTTCAGGTGGCTTGAACTTTGGGGCGGCATTATACCTCTTTCCTGCTGCCTGAAATTGGGTGGTAATTATTCATGAGACCCAGACAGTATAACCTTTCTGCATCAGTGTCAGATAAAATGGGTAACTGCAAAGCTGTTTTTCCCGAGTGTCTGCTGCCGGAAAGAGGGCCGGGCGTGTATCCTCACTGCCCTGGCCCCCTTCCCTGCCATGGCCTGGGTGGGTCCCTGTCACACTCACTGGGGTAGCTTGCGCTGGATGGATTGGGCCAGTTCACTGTTAGTGAGGGTGGCCATGTCTCCCCTTGTCATCTTTCTGCTTCAAATGATCCAAAGTAGTGACCTTGATATTAAAATACCACAGGGCTCATCCATTTGGATGTGAGCTGGTAGACAGCTCATGGATTTGGGATTTGGACTTTGGATTTGGGAATAAGACTAGATTTGTGTCTGTATCCCAATTCAGTTCTCTACCTGCTCTGTGGCCTTCGACAAGTTACTTAACCTCTCTCTGCCTCAGTTTCTCATGGTAAAGTGGTGATAATAATACCTCCTGGGAGGATTATTCTCATGATTAACTGTGGAAGCCTTGTTAACACTTAGTTCAGTGGCCGGCACATAGTCAGCACTCGTTGTTTATTGTTATTTGGCTCCAGAAGTGGCCATCCCAGAACCCTGGGTTGAGCGCTCCCTCTGGCAGCTGGAGGAGGTCCCAGTTCTTGCTGCTGTCAGTTATGAGTAACCAACAATGAGCTTCCTCTGCTCCTCCCTTTCCTAGGTGAACATCATCCCCATCATCGCCAAATCAGATGCCATTTCTAAGAGTGAGCTAACAAAGTTCAAAATCAAAATCACCAGCGAGCTTGTCAGCAACGGGGTCCAGATCTATCAATTTCCTACAGATGATGAATCGGTGGCAGAGATCAACGGAACCATGAACGTGAGTGGGCACACAGGGGGTTCAACTTTTGGGTCATTTGCTTTCAAAAATTCATTCATTCATCCATTCATTCATTTATAAAATGGCAGTCAAACATCTTCACCCTCCATCTTAGTGCATTCACCTCTTGATTATTCGAGTGTCAGGTATCTGTGAGAGAGAATCCAGAACCCAAACAGCACCTCTCTGCCAGCGGTGGCTGCTTGAAAGGCTCAGAGATGCAGAGATTAAAAGCTGAGATGGGGAAAGGGCAAGGGCAAAGGCTGTCTCCAGGAAGTGGCTGCAGCAGAGGTTTCAGGTCTCTCCCCGCCTCCCCCCCCCCTTTAATGCCGCTCTGGTCTAGGCCAGACAGCCTTCATGGGGCTGCTGGAAAGGCAAACAGTCCTTGTCTCTGACCAAAACAATGTCTGACAACTGGTGCAGCCAAAGAAGGGCAGGCTGAAACAGTTGACTGGCTTCAGAGACTGAGGAATCTTCTTGACTCGGATAATCAAGCCTCTGCTCCTGGGAGGAAATAAGACATTTGCTTCCAATTTGGTTGGTGACTAGAGAGATGTAATTTTTAAGTATCGGGGTTATACTTTGCTTCATTAAGTGTGAATGAATAAAAAAAACCCACTTGCCATCTTTCCTCTCCTCCCCCACTCCCCCCCAGAGGATGAGTAATGAAGAAGGCAGAGAGTCAAACATCTCCTCATGCTTCTTTACAATGTGTTGATGCTGTTGCTGTGAAATCCTCAATGTTGTGATTTCAAGGAGACAGCTAATAGCTTTCAGAAAGCCTCTGCTTGGGGAACAGATTTCTTTTTCTCTTCTGAGAGGCATCAGTTTTTCCTAATGACATAATGCCTGGGTATAGCCAGACTCCGGAAAACCTTGTAATAAAAGCCATTTCTAGAAAACTTTCTTGCTGCCACTGCCCCCTAGGTTATCATTATAGCATCAGCTGCCACCTCCTATGCATCGGCCAACAAATTAGCATAGCAGGGCAGCAAGCCATTGTCTCGCCTGACTTCCTGCCCATTCATACACCGGAGTTGTTTGTTATTAAAAGTCCCTCATCATTTGTGACAAATCTGGTCTATGAGTGAGCTGTGTGGGTTGTGGTAGGTTGAGTCGTGTCCTCTGACAGGTTGTAAGCATGCGAGAAGGAAGAAAGCCCTCTCTTCCTGGGCTCCAGAGGTGGCAGCCATCACCCATTGACATCACAGTCACCCTCAGACCCCTTAGGAAGCCCAAGATCATCAAAGAGGACCAAGGAGTTCATCTGGCACCAGTCAGACCAATCTGTCAAAATTGGGTGTAACTGGCAGAAACTCAGAGGCATCAATAACAGGCGCAGAAGGCTCAAAGGCCAGGCTATGATGCTCACGGGAGCAAGAAAACAAAGCAAATGCTGCCCAGTGTCTTCCAGAAGTTTCTGGCACACAACGCCAAGGAACTCCAAGTGCCACTGATGGACAGACAGCACACCTTAACTGCACTGAGGTGGCTCACAAGGTCTCCCCCAAGAACTGCCAAGCCCCCGTGGGAAGAGCAGTACAGCTGGCCACCCACGCCACCCATCCCAATGCCAGGCTGTGCAGCGAAGAGAGCGAACAGCCAGCACCTGTGCACGTGTATGGTGTTAATAAAACCATAAAACTGCCGAAAAATAAAAATAAAAAAGGAAGGGGAAAAAAAAAGACGAGTGCTTGTTGCCTCTCTAGCGGGCAGGGTGTTTGGATGGAAACCAGGCTCTGTTGCGATGAGAAAATGGAAAAAAAGGTGCTTAGCCAGCGGAGAAATGGGGGCCTGGAGCGACGTGCTGTTCTGGAATTACTGGCACCGCTGTCTTGAAGGGCCTGCTCACCTCAGAAATCAGACCCCGTAGACACCACTGGGACTCAGATTCACTAATTCATCAAGCTATGGTTTGCTTTGCTAATGGATAGGGAGTTCTCAGCAGCCCCAGGGTGTCACCTAAATCCTATTCCATTACTCTGGCCCTCAGGAGTGACAGTTGTCCTGGCCTCGGAGCTCAGCCCAGCTCTGGCCTCCTTCCTTCTAGAGCCTAGGGCAACGTCAAGTTTGCAGACCTCCTCCTGGGCTCTCCCTGGCCAGGCCCGGAAGCAGTAGTTCTCAAGGAGACATCTTGGCTGTGATGGAGTTCACGCAGCATTTGTTCCCTTGCTTTTTTGAACGGGAAGGAGAGGGATGGCCTCAGCCAGGCTCCCAGGAACTGGGCATGCCTGGGAGGAAGATGTGCAGGTGAATGTTGCTTTGTGTGTTGTGATGGGGGAGGGGGTGGGGAGTCATCACCAGAACAATTGTCTAAAGCTGTGGTGTACAAAGCTGCATCATCAGTGACCCAGACCATGATGGTAGGAGAAATTTTGGATTTGACTCCAGCCCCACAGTCTCAGCCACGGCAGCCAATTGTCAATGGGAATTGGATTGGAAGAAGAGGAAGACACTTCTTGCCTAAGTGGAGAAGACCATAGAGTCACCCAGCTGCTCCCCACTAATGGCAGGAAATGAGAGGATGAGATGTCAGCCTCCCCCTTGTTTTATGAGTAGTTCTGCAAAACTGATTTCAGATTGAGGGGGCCAGAGACAGTAATGAGAGGTCTTACTGCAAGCTACAGTCATCGTAGGCCCTGATAGCTCTCAGGGTTTAATTATAGCTCTCAAGGATTAATACTAAAAATTGCTATGTTGTTCAAATTGAATGTTGTTCTTTGAGTGATTCAACGCATGACAAGAGATCAGAGAATAGACCCAGTTATTTGACTCAGTTCAGTTGGTTGGCCATTGGCGAATTCTTGGGTTTGGCCCCACCAAGAGATTTGGGCCCAATGAGAGCACATGGGTGTCCAGTAGGCTCACAGGGCACAAGCTTGTCCCTTCTTCAGAGAGAGCAGTGCCCTTTCCATTGTTTTGACAAACTTGTATGGAAATCACCCACACAAGGTTGACGTGAGAGAGGATTAGGCAATGTTCTCACACAGTCACCAGCAGAAGCCCGAGAGGAGAGCGAGCATAACCAGCTCGTGACTGGGAATTCTGTCCTTCTTCAGGGGCATGCCACTCATGATGCTGAGATTATTGAGGAATGGACGATCTTCACAGTCTTTATTTCACTGGTTTGAGGGGAACGATGGTCTGATCTCCCAACAGTAATTGAGGTGGTGGGACCAGAATAGAATAATTCAGGCTACTGGTATCATCAAATACTTTAAAATGTACCTACAGGCAGTCAAGGCAGACGTGAGACTGTGTAGGTAGCGAATCAGGGAACAGACTCCCAAGAGGAGGTTGGGACGAGTTCTGGATAGAGACTGACACTGGGTATCTGGCAAGCACCTCAGCAGAAGTCTCTTGGTTGAAGTTGGACTCCCATGAGGAGCCTGTCCCTGTCTCAGCAGCAGGTCTGTCTTGCATCTATCAAGGTGTCCTCTCTGGAGCCACATATATAAACTGTCCCCCGCCAGTCTCCTGCGCGGACCTGAAAAAGAAGCAGAAAACCTGGCTTGAGATTCAAATGCTGTGTGAGTGTGACTGGGGGGCTGACCTCCCTCCTCTGCTCAGACTCCATTCCAGGTGTCACAGCTGTCATCCTCTCGTGAGAGCAGAAAGAGGCCCAGAGCCTGGCCCTGTGATCGCCCGCCCTTCATGGTTAGCTGACTTCTAGCAGATGGCACCCTGGGTGGCTCCCGGCTAAAATGCAGTGTCCTCACTGCTCCCTGGGCAGATTTGGGCATGGAAGTTAGGGACCTGGCCAACCCGTTTAACCTTTCAATATGTCATTTGCCCCAAATCACGCATGAGGTTTATAATAACCACCCTGTACGGCCCTTGTGAGAATCAAGTGAAATCTGCCTCGGAGTCCTTGGGAATGATATCCTTGCATATACTTATCAGAATAGACTTTGATGCCCATTGCAAAGGAGTGTGCCGTGGGAGGTCTCGGGAGCCCTCTGGAGCTGCCTTGGCGGGGCCTATGTGTTTTTGAGTGGGGAGGGAGAAAAAGACAGCAATTAAGGAAGAGGGGAAGCAAGTGACCCTGTCATTCCAGCTAACTATGTTTTTCGGAGATAAAAATAACAGAGCCAAGGGAATGCCGACATTTTTGATGCCTTATTCTCTTCTTAGATTTTTTTTTCTTCTTCCCGCTTGAGCCCAGAGAAGTTCTTCTCTCTTCACACCCCGCCCTCCTCCTCCGTCACTTTCAGCTGAGCGCCCAGAATATGCGAGAAGGATACAACTCGATTTCTCTTTCTCACCTCCTCCCTCAGTCTAGCTGTCTGCCATCACTGCCCCTTGGCTCTCTTGTGTCTCATGACCCAAGCTTTGGGGTCTCTGCATGAAAGGAAACATTTTCCCAGAATGTTTAGGGGTGGCTTTGAGGCACCCAACATGTCTTAGGTCCCTAAGTGGGAAAGACTTGTGCCCAGATGACCCCCTCCTACAAAGCCAGCTGTCATGTGTTTCGAGGTGCTTGGTCCTTGAGCAGGGTTTTTGGGAATTCAGTGACTACCTGTACCAAGGTGTCCATGGCCAACTATCCCTACCAGGGCCGATGAAGCTTTTCTACCTCCACCCTTTGCCCACTTTCCATCCCCATAACCTCCTCTTTTTCTGTCCCATGTCGCTGTTTCAAGGACAGTCAGCAGAGCGGGAACGGGTGAGAGAATACCTGAGATGAGAGAGGCTAATGGGGGAGCCACTCCGCTGGGTGATCAAGCACTTTGGGGGGTTAGTGGATGTCCTGGAGCTGAGCTCCTGAATAAGACTTGTGTTTTCCCACTCTGAAACACCTTCGCGGGTGCAGCTAAGAGAATGGAGAGGAAGGATTGGTTGTGAAAAGAGCCTGCAGATTAAAACAAAAACCCGGGTTTGCTGTGGTTCTTCATGAATGGACCTGCCTCCTGTCATCTGACCTTACACAAACAACTCATTGCAAGGTGTAGCTTGTTGTCCTCCCTGGTTAGACAACAGGGGTGGGCTTTGAAGCCAGACAGACCTGGCTTCTACCCCTAGCTCTGCCCCTCACTACTGGGTGTCTGTTGGCAAGTCACTTAATCCATTGTGACCTCAGTTTCTCTTCTATAAAAGAGGGATCATAAGAATACCCCCCTCATAGCATGGCTGCCAAGATTCAATGAGATTTTGGGAAACAAAACAAAGGGTCAGATAAAAACCAAACCAATAACAAAAGCTAGATAGAAATCTGACTGTAGAATTGAAGCTCCCAGAGGGGGAGAGGGAAAGAGGGAGCCAAATGGAGAGGGGCCACAAAGGACTATGGTGGTGGAATATAGTGCCTTGGTGGCAAGTGTGGTGTGGTAACATACACCCAAAGAGGTGTGAACCTATACCTCTAAATCACATACAGTGCTGTAAACCGATGTTACCTCAATATTTTTTTTTTTAATTCAATAAGATAGCACAGAGCCCCTGGGGCATAGTACATTGAACCGAATAAATTGCTGCTGCTGCTAATGCCAATTCTGTAGCTGCCAACACTGTTAGTACAGTCGCTCCCACCTTCTCAGTGTAGCTGCTTTGACTTCCCACCACATTAGCTACTCCCTTCTCTGTGTTCCTCCAGCCCTCAAGCCTCTGTTGATCATCCGGACCATCTTATTATATTATGGCTGTCGGTGTGCCTTCCCCCCCTGCCAGAGCAGGCACTCTCCAGGGACAGGCTCTGAGCTTTTTCAACTTTGTGTTCGTCTTAATGCCTAGCACACTGTAGGAACTCGGTAAATATTTGTAGAATGGAGGAATGAGCAAAATGGGTCAGAATACCTGCAATCAAGACCTGTGTCTCCAAGCAGGCAAAGAAAGCTTGTTCTAGTGGACTTTTTGCTTGTTGGTATAAAACCCTTTGGGGTAAAATCCCACCTGGCATCACCTGATTTTTATTTTTATTTATTTTTTTAAAGATTTATTTATTTATGCGTACAAGAACTGGGGTACAGACCAGAGGTGTGAGGGGTGAGAGGAGTCACCAGAGACAGAGTGGGAAACAGAGCAGGTGGACTGACTGAAATACACTGCTGAGGGGAGCAGCAGACGAGGCAGGAGGGGTCTGCTGCACTATGTGGGTTTCCTCCCCAGCTTCAGTGGCTGCATATAGCTTCATAGGCTGCATCTTAATCCCTTGTGCCACCAGGGAGGCCCTCACCTGATTTTTAAAGATTTATTTATTTATGCATACAAGAGCTGGGGTACAGGCCAGAGATGCGGGGGGTGAGAGGATTCACCAGAGACAGAGTGGGGAGCAGAACAGGCAGGCTGACTGAAATACACTGCTGAGGGGAGCAGCAGGCGTGATAGGAGAGGTCCACCAGGGAGGCCGCTCACCTGATTTTTAAACAATTTTTATCCAGTGGTTCCATTTGGCCAAGGGGTCACTCAGCACCTGGACAGCTCCTTGTGGAGCTGGGTGCTGTGTTTCCCAGACCCCATACTACCAATTGGGAGCAGCTGCTGCTTCTGTGACCCACAAAGCCTTCACCAGCCAGCCCAGTTCCTCCTCCTTGTAAGCACCAAGTTCATACTCCTCTTTGTACATTCCCTTCCTTTCCTCTACTCTTTCCAGGGCCCTGTACCTACTGTGTGCGGGATACCAGACCATACATTTGAGCTCCTGGTCTTATGCTGTCTTCTGTGATTTTGGGTATGAATGTTGGCTTCCCCAACAAGATTGTAAGCTCCTGGAGGGCGAGAGACTATGACTTCTACTTCTTTTGTCTCCCTTACAGCACCTGAAACAGAACCCAGCATAGTAATAGGCATGTGCATAAATACTTGGGAACTTGACTTGTAGGCTCAAGAGTTCAATGTGTGCTCTTGCTCCACAGAAGGATGAGAGCAAGTAGGGCACAGCCCAGTCCCTGTGTGATTTCAGTATTATACCTGTTCTCTAGACTCACACTGGTTCCCCTTCAGCCTCTCTTCCCACTTCCCTCCTTCAGAAAGGCTGTTACCCTCAGCAGCTGTGAATACTGAAGAGACAGTTCATCTGTGTATCTGCTTCTTATTCTGCTTATTTTCTCTTTGTTCCCTCTGCATTCAGCCTTGTCATTGTTACCTTCTGTTGTGACTTTCCTAAAGGCAGAAGGTTGGGCTAGGCCTCGCATCCCCACACAGCTCCAGAGTTTAATAAATGCCTCTTGACGTTGACATGAGGAACTCTGCAACATGAGACCTGAGGCCCCTGACATGAGCAGCAATTGCATTGTGGGATGTGGACAGTCCTTCTGCCGAGTTCTGAGCTTTTGTTTGCCTTCTGTTTTAGGCCCACCTGCCATTTGCTGTCATCGGCAGCACAGAGGAACTGAAGATAGGCAACAAGATGATGAAGGCCCGGCAGTACCCGTGGGGCACAGTGCAGGGTAAGTGAGTCTCCAGTAGAGGGGCTGCACTCGGGGAACCCCTCCTGTCTGTCTCCAGTCATTGAGTGATCCGCCTCACATTTGTGTCCAGTTGCTGTTCATTTGACTTAGGCTGCAAACAGCAACAGGGGTCATCAGCAGGCAAACTCCAGCTCCAGACCTGGTTTCTCTGCCATGAGCAAGCTCTCCTTGACTGTCCTAGAGAAAACATTCCTAAAACAAAAACAAATGTACCTGGTAGGAAAGAGTCTGTGAGAAGGCATATATACCTGCCCAAGCGGACCAGGAGACAAACAAGAACCTTCCCGGTAGTGTTATTTGTAACAGCCAATAACCAGACATAGTCCACATAGCCATTAAAAATAGCTTGGACAAAGTGTGGAATATTCAAATCACTGGATGTTATACAGCAGCACAAGGGAATGGACTCTAGCTACTTCTACATGAATGCACCCCAGAAACATAACATTGAGCTAAATAAGTCACAGAAAAATACCCGCTGTGTGATTCCATTCTATGAATTCCAAAAGCAGACAAAACAAAACGAGATAAATGCCTTTAGGAGTTCATATGTAAGTGGCAAAGCTATAAAGAAAACAAAGGAGGGCCTCCCCGGTGGCACAGCGGTTAAGCACTGGGCTGCGAAGCTGCCTGCAGCCTCTGTAGCGCCGGTTCGATCCCCAGCCACGGGGTGAGGGTCCCACATGGCACGCAGACCTCTCCTGCCGCCCGCTGCTCCCCTCAGCAGTGTATTTCGTCAGTCTGCCTGTTCTGTTCCCCGCTCTGGCTCTGGTGAATCCTCTCACCCTCCCGCGCTTCTGACTGTACCCAGTGCTTGTATAAATAAATAAATAAATATTTTTTTTTTAAAAAAAAAAGCACTCAAGATTATGTTTGCATATGTAGCTGTGTAATATAGGGTAAAAAGATATAGAAAAAATCAAAAAAAAAAGAAAAGAAAACAAAGGAATGATAAACCCCTACCTCCGGAGAGTGCTTAAGTCTTGTTGCGGGAAGGAGAGCATGAGAACTAGAAGGGACACTGGGGACTTCTGAGGTTTTGGTAGTGTTTCACCTGACTGTTTTGTTTTGAAATTTAGGTTGAAAAAAAATTTAGGTTGCATGTACACACTTCATGCACTCTTGTGTGTATAATTATGTTTGCAATTTAAAAACAAGTAATGTTGTGTATTTATATTCAGAAGAAAGTTCCCTCTGTGCTCTGCCAGGCATGTGTTAAGGTAGCCCCAGACTAGTCGTTTCTGTGGATAAAATACAGCTTAGGGCACTGCCTTGGGTCAAAAAGGCATCAGCTCTCGGGTTGTGGGGGCACCGTGTGTGAGGAGACTGGTTCACTGTCAACTCCTCCCTGCCGATGAGCAAACATCTGAAAGCTGTGGGAAGTTGTCCACATTGCAGAGACTGGTATGCTTTAGGCCACCCTGGATACCCTGAAGCTATAACCGGGGTTCCTCAGGCTGGATCACAACTGGTAAACACAACTGGACTAGGTTTTGGTCTGCTCTGACGTCTGGGGCTGGGAACACTGTGCTCGGAATATTTGCCAATGGCTTCTGTCGGGCCTGGCAAGGAATGTATGGATCTGAGAGAGTAGAGGCCCATGACATGGTTCCAAAAACTTCCTCCCACTGAGGTCGCCCCAGATCTAACCAACAAAGGGGGTTTGGAAATCTGGGTTCAGTGATGTATGTAAATGAGGAAGAAGCTGTGTATTGCCAGCGACCACCGTTTGGAGACAGACGAGGTAATGTTGCAGGCAGATGCGATTTTTAGTAGTAGCTTATGTTCTGTGACAGCCGAGGGCTTTGGCCCAAAGGCAATGAGCTTATGCACAGCTGATATGTGAGCCCTTTGGGAAGATTATTCTGATGACCGCCAGGCAGTCTGCTGCATGCCCAGCCCTTCCACCACACCTGCCATCCTACCTCTGCTCCCCGCTCCTGAAAGACAGCAGCATCTGGGGTGACTGTGCCTGTTCATTATCTCAGAAACCACTGTCCCTACATCATTAAGACAGACACCCCTATTCTGACACAGTGGAGTCAGGCCTGGAGACACTTGCCAGAGCCCTGCTCACGACCTTATGATGTCCCAGCCACAAGTCCACCTTGTATGACTTAGGGCCACATCTCTGCCCTTCTTGGCCGTTGCCCAAGGTACAGACCTTCACTGTGCTCTTTTGAGGAGGCCAGAAGGCGGGGTCCACTATGTCCTAGTAACCATCGCTGCTGTCAACCCACCCTCTACAAAACACCTCCTTTTAGTCCTCCCCTGGTGGCGCAGTGGTTGAGCACTGGGTTGCGAAGCTGCCCGCAGCCTCTGCAGCGCCGGTTCGATCCCCAGCCGCCGGGCGAGGGTCCTACATGGCGGCGCACAGACCTCTCCTGCCGCGCTCGCTGCTCCCCTCAGCAGTGTACTTCAGTTCTTCTGCCTGTTCTGCTCCCTGCTCTGGCTCTGGTGAGTTCTCTCACCCTCCCGCGCTTCTGACTGTACCCAGTGCTTCTATAAATAAATAAATAAATTTCTTTAAAAAAAAAAAAAAAAAAACACCTCCTTTGATGGCTTCTACCATCCAGATGGACCACAGGTGGAGGCGTGGTCCACAGCCCTCTTTGTCACCAGTCTGTTGGTGTCTCAATGTGTTCCCCTTATTCACTGGGGACGTTGGTACCTGGTCACTGCCTTTGCTGCTCCCCTAGTGTGTCTGGATTTCGATCTTAACTCTGCAACTTGCTAGCTGTGAAGCCTGCCTAACCTCATGGAGACTTTGCAGGAACCACTCCCTTCCCTGTGTGATAAAATCTGATTCCTCCTGCAAGAGGTATCTTAAGGGTTGTCTCTTTGGCTAACTCTTTGGTGTCCCAGGAGTCCTTAGGCCCCCTCTTCTGAGATTTCATTGCCCTGTAGACAATCTGCACCTCCATTTTCAGGAGTTTTGCATGGTATTATAGCTGTCTATTTGCATCCATCTTTCCACTGACCTGTAAGCTCCAGAGGGCAGGGCTCTGTGACGTTTCTGAATTCCCAGGACCTCATAGGAACAAGGATTCCACAAATATGTCTTGAACCATTGGCTGAATGTGTGCACACCACTGTCATACAAGTGGTACAAAGGAGCATGCCTGCCTGTCAGTGTCTGCTGAATTTGTGTTGAGACGCTGCTGACTGTCTTCTTAGGGATTCCCCCACACACACACACACTCCAGATGATGTTTATTGAAGTAAAGTAGGTTTACATCTTTGTATCTGCTCTGGGAGTTATAGATTCAAACCTCCACAAATGTGTACTTTCACACCCTGCCCACGACCAGTGCCCCCACAATCCTCCACCGTGTTCCCTTGGGCCTCTTCCCTCGCCCACTCCCACGCCATCACCCTCCCTCTCTGGCCTTCCTTTCACTATCCACCCCCTATTATGCAGTTGAAAATGAGGCCCACTGCGATTTTGTGAAGCTGCGGGAGATGCTGATTCGGGTCAACATGGAGGACCTGCGGGAGCAGACCCACAGCCGGCACTATGAGCTGTATCGCCGCTGTAAGCTGGAGGAGATGGGCTTCAAGGACACTGACCCCGACAGCAAACCTTTCAGGTACCTCTCCTGCCAGCCCAGCCCAGCTGAACCCACCCAGGGAGTGCTGGAAGCCTTGCCCTGGAGCATTTACAGGGGCCGCCGGACACAGTAGCTGAGACCTAGAGCCACAGGGCTGTCACTGGGCTGGTCCAGGTACCTGTCCCCTCTCTACCTGTGTACACCTGCTAGGGAGCTGGGGCAGGGTGCGCTTGTAAGCACCGCTGCCCTGCTTGTAACAGTAATGCCGGGGCGGGGGAGTGACAGAGGATCAGCAAGGTCAGTAGCCTCACTGACCCCCCTCCAGCCCCCACTACATGGTTGCTGCTGTCTGCTGTGCCAGAGGGGGGCCCTGAGCTGGGACCTTGCAGCTGACACATGCAGTTTGTGCCTATTCTTTGCCCCCCACTTTCTTCGTCAGGCTCCTGTTGTTCTGTCAGGGTTCCAGTCCAGTCCGTATCTTCCTCCTCATCAAAAACCAGTTGGGACAAGGAACCAGTTGTACATGTGCCGAAGAACTTCAGGCTTCATTGACTGAATGTTTTCATTCAAGTGCAAGTTTTGTTTTGACCACCGGGAGTTAAGCATCATCATGTGCTTAAATCAGAATCGAAGATGCTCTCCGAGAAGAGGAATGGTTCTGAAAGCAGTTGATTCTGATTTTAACTCTGCAGATAGGAGCCATAGGCCTCGTCAGGGTGTCTCATCTGTATGCATGATGCATGACATTGGCCTTGCATTTTAAATACCATGTGGTGCCCTTTCCTGGAGCTCAGTCTCCTTTCAGGAAATGTCAGGCCTCTATCAACAAGCAAAAGGAATGCTTGTGCGCTAAGAAGCCTTTCAAATAGCCTCTGAGATCCATGGTGCCTCTTCACGGCAGTAGGCCAGCCTGCAGGCAAAGCATAGCCAATTCTTTGGGGCTGCCTCGTTCTGGAGGGGCAGACTCACCTCCCTTCCTCGACAGGGGCTGCTGGAGCTCCTGGGCTAGGGGAAGGCCTGCCTGTCTTTCTGGCAAATACCCCTTACCTTTTCTCTCCCTTGCCTCCCATAGCTCTAATCTGCATGTATGGAGGGAGAGTGTCCCTCCACCTGCTCATCCAGCCCCCTCCCTCCTCCTGCATCCTCAGCTCTCTTTCCACACCTTCGCCCCCTGCACTCCCCTGCTGCTCCTTTCCAAGCTGCATGTGCAATTTTCACCCCAGAGAAACTTCTCCCTTAACGCTGCTCTTCCTCCTAGGTCTGCCCTGGCCAAAGTTAGACCCTCATGGGAAAGAGAAGGCATTGTTTTACAAGTTCATTGGTCTGTCCCTACCGCTCCACCGGAAGGCCTCTCTCCAAGGGCAGCTCAGGGCCAAATACAGGGTGTTCTCTGAATCCCATCTTTTTTTTAATTAATATTTTATTTTATATAATTCTTACATCATTTTTCATTTTTGCACAATGTGTGCATTTTCATTTTGGTTATATTCCCCATACAATTGCACCCCCCTTATTTTGATCCTAGTCCTTCCTCTCCCCCCCGCCCCCATAGTGTGTCTCTGGTTTATAGTTGCTTGTTGATTTTGATTTTTACTTTGTATTAATTAGCCTTTTTCCTGGTCCCTTATTTAGGTTTTCTAAATTCCTGCTATGAGTGAGACCATCCAGTATTTTTCTTTTTCTTTCTAACTTATTTCGCTGAGCATGATCCCTTCTAGCTCCATCCATGTTGCGGCAAACTGCATGTGTTTATCTTTTTGATTGCTGAGTAATATTCCATGGTGTATATGTACCACATCTTCTTGATCCAGTCATCTATTTTTGGGCATTTGGGTTGCTTCCAAAGCTTAGCTATTGTAAACAGTGCTGCTATAAACATAGGGGTGCAGGTGCCCTTTGGAATTAATGTTTCTGTGTCCTTTGGGTAAATACCTAGGAGTGGAATTGCTGGATCATATGGAAGCTCTATGTTTAGTAGGTCCAGAAATCTCCACACAGCTCTTCATAGTGGTTGGACCAGTTTGCACTCCCACCAGCAGTGCAGGAGAGTTCCTTTTTCTCCACAACCTCGCCAACATTTGTTGTTGCTATTTTTTTAATATGTGCCATTCTCACTGGTGTAAGATGGTATCTCATGGTAGTTTTGATTTGCATTTCCCTGATGACAAGTGATGTTGAACATTTTTTCGAATCCCATCTTTTTTTGTTCTCTTTAATCTCAACTCAACATTTGACACCGTCCCACTGTATCCTTCCTGAAATTCTCTCTGCCTTGGCTTTGCTAGTACTGCTCTGGTTGGTTTCCCTCCTGTCTGGATACTCTTTCTCATCCCCATTTGCAAGCTCTTTTTCCTCAGCTTATCCTGAACTCTTTGTGCACCCCAGGATTCTTCCCAGCACCTCAGCTCCTTTCCCTCTCTTTTGAATTTGTGGCTGGCTTTTTCTACTCTTACTAACTACCACCTAGAAAAAGATGACTCCTAAACTAACACCTGACTTTTGAGCTCCAAACCCATTGACCCAAGAGCATGCTGGATGTTTTCACTTGGACATCTTAGAGTTGACTTGCTGAATCTCAAGCTGTCTAACATGGTATTCGTCTTCTTCCCTCTGAAACTTTTTCTTTTGATTGTTCAATATTTTATTTATTTTGAAATGGTATATGCATATATATAATTTTTATTTTTATTATTATTATTATTTTTAATTTTATATATTTTTTACATCATTTTTTTTCATTTTCGCATAATGTATTCATTTTCATCTTGGTTACAGTCCCCATACAATTCCCAACCCCCTTTGTTTTAGGAGGAGTCAAAGATGATGATGCTAGGGTTTTAGCCCAGGCTACCCAGTGGATGGCAGTACCACAAACAGCAACAGGAAACACCGGAGAAAAAATATGTTTCATCTCGGATAATATTTTTTCTCCAGTGTTCCCTGTTGCTGTTCATAGTACTGCCATCTACCGGGTTCCCTGGGCTAAAACCCCAGCATCATCATCTTTGACTCCTCCCAAGTCCTAGGAGTTTGGCTTCCTTTACTGTCCCTTAAGTTCCCCCCAGGCTTATCCACCCTGCCATCAGCCCTTAACATTAAGTGGATTGTTGGCAAGTCTATTCTTCAATCTACAGCCTTTCTCACTTTCAAATCGGATCAAGCAGGTTTCATGCTTAAAACCCTGAGGTGGATGAATGTCCAGGTCTTTACTATGGCATCCAAGGCCTGTATTCCATCTCCCACACCTCTCCAGCTTGCACCAGCCTCTGCAGCCATGTTGGGTGATGCCGGACCCCCAAGTACTCCATTCTTTCCCCATATATGCTTTTCCATGGACTGTACTCTTTGAGTACAGTCAAAGAATTCTTCCTCTTCTTCACCAGGTGGACTCCTGTTTATTGAAAACTAAGTCCAGGCTGAATGTTTTCACTTGGACAGCCCAGACTCCGAGTGCCTTGATAGGAGGCACAGTGGCTGTTGGCTCTACCTGTCGAGGGACTGGCATGTCACTGTTCCTGTGTCGAGCACAGGGTGCAGTGTCATAGGCTGTTTGTTGACCTAGATCATGGCTGTGTTGAGTTACAGACAGGACCTGGCAGCAGAGTGCAGTAGAAGGATCCAGATTAGGAGACTAGAGACCCAGTTTCTGGTCGAAGCTCTGCCTCTAGCTGTGTGAAACTCAGCCAGAGCCAGTCTCATCACCTCTGCGGGTCTGTGTCCTCATCTGTGAAATAAGGATTGAGAAGCAGATGCTGTCAGTCTCTCCTAGCTCCCAACATCTCTCCAGTTCACCTGGCCTCCCCATCCCTGATAAGTAACCCCATGTCCGTGCCGTCACAGCCCAAGCCAGCTGCCCTAGCTCTGTGGTTCTGTTGGTGCTCCTCTCCCCGAACTGGGGAAGGGTGGATGGAGAACCCAGGGAGGATCACTGGGACCAGTTTTCATCGAATGGGAGCCATTCTGAAGGTGGGGAAATTAACTCGACTGTGTTTGCAGTTTACAGGAGACGTATGAGGCCAAAAGGAATGAGTTCCTAGGGGAGCTGCAGAAAAAAGAAGAGGAGATGAGACAGATGTTCGTCCAGAGAGTCAAAGAGAAAGAAGCTGAACTCAAAGAAGCAGAGAAAGAGGTAAATGTGCACCTGTGTGCCAGGCAGGAAGGAAAAGGAAACTAAATTTAGGTAAGAATGGGCCTCACAGAGAGCCCTTTCTTCTTGATCGTGCCTTCCCCAAGGCTGGATGTTTTCTCATTGAATTGCGCTGTCCCCTATGGTAAGCACTAGCCATAGTTGGCTATTTAAGTTTAAATTAGATAAAATCTGAAATTCAGTTCCCAAGTTGTGTTGGCCACATTTCGAGTGCCCAGTCCCCATCCAACAAATGGCTATCATCTTTAGGAGTACTGATAAAAAATCATTGCTAGAAAGTTCTATAGGGCAGCGCTTGCTAAAGAGTTAAGACCTAACATAGTCCCTTGAGGACAGGGGCAGGCTGATTCTTTTTCCTCTTCCTGGGAGTTTGGAGCTCAGTGGGGACTGTTGATCACGTCCTTGGTTGTCCTCCCCATCCTACCTTCTCTGATGACCACAGGGAAAGATGGCTCAGGCAATCCACAATACCTAACCCAGTGATAGCTAGGGCAGTTCCCCATCTCTTGGATATTCTGTTCTATTTCACATTACAGAAACATCTGCGTGACTCTAGTGGGTCTTTAAACAAAGTTCGATGGTCTCTCCGGGGTGTCATTACTTCAGCCATGCCTGATAAAGTGCAGTTAGTTCTCTAACCATGGCCTTGCTTCCATGGTTGCCTGACCAGTTCGCCTACAGATGCCCAATTAATTGACCTCAGCTCCAGTTTGGGTCATGTCAGCAACTGCTTCACCTCTCTGGGGCTCAAACCCATAAAGAAGAGAAGCACTTCATTCCTTCCCAAGTCTCTTCCTTTAATCTGCTGTTACTCTCTGGAGTTAATCACCAAAGCCCGTGGCAAGAGTATTGATTTATTTTACTTTCCTTTTTCAAAAGAAAAAGGTCACCCAGGACTTTTAGGAGGGAAGGGGAGGGAGTCTTAAAGGTAAATGAATGAAAAGCCGATGGACCAAAGCCAGGTTAAAGCAAAGATCGGTGGAGCTTCCACTGTCCCGTCCCAAGTGACTAGTAAAAACTGGTTTATACAGCCAGTCCATCAGGCACCACACCTGGGTAAGTGGCAGACCCAGATACCGAGGGGACTAGGAGACCTGACCCCCTTTACGGTGTGCTAGAAGTGTTACAGAATCCTAAACTCTCTTCTGGAACCTCAAAAGAAAGTGAAATTCCACATGGTCTGCTCTGACTATTCAGGGTAGTTTATCACGCTCGAGTACGTGACCACCTAGATCCCCGCTCCCTGATCTGCTCATCACAATGGCATGCCAGAGTAGCCAGAGTATTCTTGCTCTTTTCCTTTGGGTGTCTTGCTGTACTCAGGGCTACTGAAGTTTTCCCCTTGGTCAAGGCTGAGATCTCCACACTCAATCCATTTTATAAAATTATTTTGTCTTGGGCCTCCCCGGTGGCGCAGCGGTTGAGCGCTGGGTTGCGAAGCTGCCCGCGGCCTCTGCGGCGCTGGTTCCATCCCCGGCTGCTCCCCGGCCACCAGAGGAGGGTCCCACATGGCGCGCAGACCTCTCGCTGCGGCCCGGCCACCAGAGGAGGGTCCCACATGGCGCGCAGACCTCTCCTGCCGCCCGCTGCTCCCCTCAGCAGTGTACTTCGGTCCTTCTGCCTGCTCTGCTCCCCGCTCTGGCTCTGGTGAATTCTCTCACCCTCCCGCGCTTCTGACTGTACCCAGTGCGTGTATAAACAAAAACAAACAAACAAATAAATAAAAACATGCCTCTATAAAAAAAAAATAAAAAATAAATAAAAAATAAAATTATTTTGTCTCTTTCCATGGCCAAGGACAAGTATTTCCTTTGACCAACTCTGGCGTTGCTGAGGTTTCTTCTGCCATCCATGGTGACCCTCCTTGGTTGGAAGAGATAAGAAAAGGCCGGAGCTTTCACACTGGGCAGTCTCATTATGTAATTCTGTAAAGAGTGGATTGAGCTCGGGCAAATTCCTTCACTTCTCTGCCCTTCTGTTCCCCCATAAATTGCAGATAATAACAGCTTCATCACATAACCTACCACATAGGATTTTTATGACAATTAAATGAGTCAATACATAAAAAGTGCGTCTAAAAATCAGTGCCTTGCCTAAGTAAGCACTCAGTAAATGTTATGACTGTTATAATTGATATTATCTACCAGTTATGGCAACTGTTTTTAAATAAAATATTTGTTTAACTAGAATGCACTGTTCCTTGACCATATTCAGGAACAGAAACTTGGAGAGAAAAATGGCAGGGGTAGGGAACTATCCAGAACATGGTGCTCATTCGTGCCATCATCTCAGTCCCTGGCAGGTCCCAGGGTCCTGTGGAGTTGCCACCCTGCCACCCCCATCTGCCCTGGGCTCCTCTCAGCTGGAACTTGCTCACTGGGGGACTCTCCCAAAATTCTCTGTGCTTCCCTGCCAGCTGCATGAGAAGTTTGACCGTCTGAAGAAACTACACCAGGACGAGAAGAAGAAACTGGAGGATAAGAAGAAATCCCTGGACGATGAAGTGAACGCCTTCAAACAGAGGAAGACAGCGGCAGAGCTGCTGCAGTCCCAGGGCTCCCAGGCGGGAGGCTCACAGACTCTGAAAAGAGACAAAGAGAAGAAAAAGTAAGTGGTTGGCAGCTCCGGGGTGGCGGCTTCTTTCTCCTCTTTGTTTAATTCCTCAAGGCAGGGCCTGGACGCTGAGGGGGCTGAGAAGGGTGCCCAGGGGTGAGCTGTGGGCTGATAGATGGGTTTGGGAGCTTAGAACTGGTCTCAGTGTATGAATGAAGATCAGGGACCCACGGACTCCCTGACTGGGGTAGCTGAGAGTAGAGGAAGGTGTGGCCCCAGAGGCCCAGCCTCTGAGGAAAGCCCTGCAAACTCAAGGGAGGGAGGAGAGTAGAAAAGCAAACGGAATGGAGAGTGGAGGAAGGAGAGAGGAGACTAAGAGAGCTGAAAAGTTGGAAGAAGATGAACAAAAAGGAGGGCCGGTGCCACACAGAGAGGAAAGAGAGAACCTTTACCAGGAGTCTCCGGGCACCCTCGCCCCACCACGACCTGCACCCCCCAAAGATTGACGCTGACTGGTTTAGCCTGTTTGCTCATCCAGTGGCCTTAGGCCGACCCTCACACCCTCCCCAGTCCCCTTCTCATTGCTGCAGCCAAACAGCCCCAATTTCCCACCTCTTCGCTGTCCCTCCCTCTTAGCCACTCCGTTGTTGCCAGCCTGCAGTACTTGGGGAGCCCTCGGATGCTGGCATACTCTGTGTGGCCCATTCTCAATCTGGGGCATGATTTCAAATCCGTCCACCCTCCCTGGTATTTGATCAGGCAGGACGGCAGGGGCTCCTGGTTACCAGATGGGTCCATAACCTGGAACCATCCCCAAGCTTTGCTTGCAGAAGTTACCCCTTCCTCATCCCAACACTCAAGAAGAGAAAAGCATCTCCAGTGGCACCTGTACAACACCGAGGATGCACCCAGTGTTCCCATGGGCTCGTTGATGCAGGGCCACTTGAGCTGCCCTGGGCTGGAGGGGTAGGCAACGTCCTTACTAAAGGGACCTGAGGATTCCCAACTTGGGGATGTTCATTGCCTTCTGTTCTTAGCCACTTGCTCCTCAAGTCAGCTATTGGTTATTTGCCAGAAAGAGGAAACCCTTCCCTTTCCTCCCTGTCCGGCTTGATCACTTAGGAATGAAACAGTGACTTTGATTCAAGAGTAAACCATTTCGCATTTGAAACCACTCAGTTTTGCAATCTGAGTAGACTATTCCAAAATGGAATGTGAATGCTTTCACAGTCCAGAGATTTTTGTTATGGAATCACAACACTAGATGTCAAATCCACTGCCTAATTAACTTTTGGGGTATAGCCTGATGGATAAAGTTCAGCTCAACAGGAAAAAAAAGCCTCTTGGGGCACACTTTATTAACTGATCAGTCACGGTGTGTTCTTTACATCAGCAGGAATGGATTCTTGTTTTGAAGATCAGAAAAACCAAAATTACTCTTCCAGTTCTAACCTGCTGCCTTCATGGCCCTATGGTGTGTGTTAACTCAGTCCCGGGGCACGTCTACCAGCTGCAGGCAGGAATTAGAAGATTCATTGGTTGGGACTCCGTTGGTACTAAAGCATAAATATTCTCCATTGCAAATGTTCAGTGGAATTTCCTCCCAGCCCAGGCTTTCTCCTAGTCTCCTCAAATTAACTGACTCCTTTCCATTCCAGGCAGGAGACACCTTTTTATTTGGGGTTGGGGACTATGCCCTTTTCCAATTCAGAGGTGGGGGAAGAAACCTTTGCTGCCATCTCACACCTCATAGTAGCAATGAGGGCGTCACAAACTAGACTGTCCTCTTCCATACTTCCAGGTGTCTAAGTAGCCCTGGGCCTGGGCTTCTTGGGTAATTCCATGAACTGCTGCAAAACCCAGCATGACATCTGTACCCCCTGCCCCACTGTGCTGGTGGGTTTTCAGAGTAGTGGTGTTAATAGCATTTCTTCTTGCAAGATGGTGGTTGGGTCTAGTAGAATCACATACTTGGGATTTCCTTTGGCTACCCTTAAAGAGGTTAAGAATGAGTACCAGCATTTCGGGGTCCCTATCAACCCACTCACCCCTCCTAACCCCTCCCCTAACTCCTAATCTCCTTTGACCTCTAACTCTTCATTGTTCGTGTCAACTCATAATATTTGATTTCTCCTTAAGTTCACTCCATCTTCATCAGCTCTTACTGTTTTACAGTTAACTCTGCTGTTTGCTGCATGCTGCATGAGACCCATGGTCCTGGTAAGCTTTATTAACTCTAAATAGAACTGGCAGTGGCTTCTAGAACACATCTACCCAAATCTGCCCCTCCTCACACCCAACATTCATATCTAATCTTAAAAGAAGCTGCTTCATTGTCCCAGCTGGTTTCCTCTTGTGACTTAGATATTAAGAAAGAGTTTGGTGTGGTTTCAAGTGTACATGTGGATTGTTTGCCTGCCTGATTAAAAGGGGGTGTTTTCATATTTTTCCTGCTAGAATAAGTGGGTGACAGAGAAGGGTCCTGTGATGAGTATTTGAGGTTTCCATTTTGACCGTTTCTTTTGAAAGAGCCTTAATCCTTACTCTAAGATTAAGTAAACTCTAGCGATGAGGAGGGAAACAGTTGAGTTCACAAACCTTGTCCTGCAATTTCAGTCACCACTGACCCTCAGATTTGGGACTTTTTCAAGCCAATGGAAGCTCGCTTCTCTGTTTCCTTCTGGTGGCTGTTCCTTAGCCAAAGGACTTAACATTTTCAAATTTCCTTTGGCTGTATAATCCCTCAAACCTTCACAGAAGTGGAAGAAAATAAAGAGCTCTCAGATATTCTAGAAAATTCTTTACATTTAATTTGGCTTCATGAACACCTTTGATAAAGGAGGTAAGCAAGTTACCTTTGGTAAAATGGATTCCTGAAGGCTAAGTGTTGTGTCGACAGAAGTGACTAAAGCAGTTCCTGGTATCACATTGCTTATAGGTTGATGATAAGAGCAATTAAGGACCTTATATCTATTCTACTATACTAAGGCAGTGAGTGGAAAAGGAACATAAGTACGTTCAAGTTGACACAATTAGGCTTAGTGATAGTTATTTAAACTTTGCCATAAAAACTTTCAAACAGGAACAAAAGGGAAAGAAGAGGACCGTGCGTCCCTCACCCATACGCACCCATGACTCAGCCCCCAAAAGCCCATCAGCATAAGGCCAGCCCTGCTTCATCTATTATCCCAAACCTGCTGGATAATTACAAAGCAAACCCATATCATTTCATCTATAAATACTCTAACATGAGGGACTTACAGTTTCAAATTTCTCTAAGAAATAATGCCTCTTTAAAAACCCCATAACCACAGCACCACCATTATCACACCTACAAAATTAACAATTTGCTGACACAAAACATCTAGTCAGTGCTCAGAGTACCCTGGTTGTCTCATAAACATCTTTTACATTTGGTATGTTTGGATCAGGGAATGTAAAATATTGAGAAGACTTCTCCCCATTTACCAATGTAGTTTATGATTTAAGTGGAGAGCCTGCTGTTCGTCCCACACTGACTACTGCAGCGAGTGCACCAGGGATTCTGGGCAGCTGGCAAAACATTCGACTTTCAAGCAAACCCTGAAGAGGAAGTCCATAGAGGCTTCTGAAACATAAGGCCTATGAAATTGGGCCAAAGAAAACAACCCTAAAAAGAACAATGAAATGATTTATTGTCTGGCTGGAAGGCATGCCCTGTTAGTTGACTTGAATTAAACAGCTGATTTTCATTGAGGAAGACTCTAAATTCCTAGACTGTCACTCCTCCGCTGTAGTAGTCCCAGTGCCCAGCAAAGTGGAGTGATCACCCGTATTTTCTTTGTTACCCCATTCTCAACAAGGGGACCGGGAGAGCTGGATCCTCGTACGTTGGATTTCCATGAATTCGGGTTTCATTGCCTGTGGTTTGACACAATTTGGTTCAGGTTTCCCTGAGTAAATCTTTGTTAGTGGCCATTACTAAAATGAATTCTGACAAAACTATAATTAAAGCCATACTTTACAAGTGAGAAGCAATTGGCAAACAGCAGAACAGCCAACCCCAATCCCAAGTATGTTGGCTTTTCCTGGCAGGCGGCCCCCCAGTAGACTGTAAAAGCAGTTCTAAACCAAATAGGGGAGGGAAGGTGGGCTTGGCTACTCAAGATCTGAAAGCAGCAAAGATAGCCTGTTCCTTTCCAGAGTCACCCCTCAGTAACTAGGGTGCAGGCGGAATACAGCTCCCTCTTCATCACTGATTTTGAAACGGCTTGAGGCACTGTTTGCAGCTACTCCAACCGTAAGAGAAACCCCTGTGTGGTCGTATCTCAGTTGCAGATACTGTCTGTCAATGGTTACTGGCCCTTGACCCTTTGGGTGGTGGTGCACATCATATGGGAAAATAAGGGTTTACTCTACTACCTGAAAGCACACTGTCTTTAGTTGGTAGGTTATTGCTTTGGGTCTGGATCACTGTTTCCATTCATTTCTATGTAAAAAAGTTCTAGTGTTCCCAGAACCTCCAAAATAACCTACCGACAAATGCCAAATAGGAACATCCGGCTTTTGGAGAGAGGGGGAAACCTGTCTTCCTATCCCACGAAGCTCAGAACATAGGCCTCCTGTAGTGTTTAGGTTTCTTTCCACCTAGGAAGATGAAGAAAAAGAGAGCTACACATTTGTATAACATTTTTACTACTTTCCAAAGTGTTTTTCCATATGATACCTCATTTTCACCTTCCCGAAGTCCTTTGAGGAAGAGAAGAAAGGCATACTCTTCCTCCCTTTATAAGATGTGTAAGTGGAGGAGAGGGGAATTTAAGGGACTTACCAAGGATCACACAGTGTGTTAGTGCTAGAGCTGGAACTCGTAATTTCTGGTATAAATTGCTGTTCACGTGATGTGTGTGTGTGTGTGTGTGTGTGTGTGTGTGTGTGTGTGTAGAGGTTTGTATTCAGCTGAGGCCATGACTGTACAGACATACTCACATATGCATATGTTTTAACTATGCCTCCCAAATATCTAATAATTGTATTTATTTAATGACATAAATGTATTCTTTGGCTAATAAATAGGGGTTAGATGCACAGATGAAGAGTTCTCAGGGACATTGGGGGTGGGAGGAGTGGTAAACAGCCAGGGGCCTCAGGCTCTGGCAGGGCCGGGGCTCTCTCTTTGGGAACATGGGCCGGGCAGTTAGCTTCTGTGATCGCAGTCTCCTCGTATGTCAAAGTAGGACCGATACTACTTGCCCCCTATGTATCACAGAGATGAGGGTTAGATGACAGAAAGGTCAAAGTGCTATGTGAACATGAAACAATAATGGGCTGCCATAGTTCAGGGTCTGTAGGTAACTGCGGCCTGGACCGGAGCTGGGAACCCAGCACCCCTCCGCAAATAGTTCTCAAGCAGGTCTTGCCCTGAGGTACCAGTTAGTTGAGTGGGGCTACCCCGATGGCTACCCGAGGGGAAACCTCTGCCTGCTCCCTTTCTCCCGGGGACAAGGTGATGCAGGGGCTGAGGTCCTGGAACTCTGTGCGGTGGGCCGAGACCACCTGGAGAGTTGCTGAAGGTGTTCCTGCACGAGGTGTGTGTGGGGGCTGTTAGGCAGGACCTGGCAATTAGAAGAGATAAAAAGTATTTTCACGGCAGTTGAGAATTATTTTGCTAACTAATGCCACTCTAGCTGCTGTTCAGGGGCGTGTGTGGTGTGTGGTGTGTGAGAAAGAGGGTTCCCAAGAGCCAATGCAATAAGACCTTAAGACCATCTAACATAGCTGCATTCTAATTTACCCATTAGTCATCGTGACTTAAACCATTTTCTTCTAACCTTTTTATTTTTTGTACATTAATCCTTCCATTCATTAACCCGACTTTTCTTTTCATTTTCAGTTTGGGTTTCCTGTAGATGCCCTTTTCCTGCACAACAGAGCTGGGCCTCCCTTTCTCTAATTCCCCCTTAACACATCGGGGTGGGGGGCACATGACCTGTGCCCTCCCCTCTCTTCCTGACAAGGTTTAGAAAATCCTGACTGTCTGAGGACAGTGTCTGACCTCTGGTCAAGAAGCCAGCAGTCCTTGGAGATGCTTGGAATGGCTTGGAGATGCATGGTGTATCCCAGTCCCCCTACTGGAACCCCCAGCCACACCCCCAACTTTGCCAGATCGTAACAAGTTCAGGACTCCCATCTGCTACTCTCCACCACCCCTGTTCCAACTGACTGCGGTTTGCGTTCCTGAGGTCTTTGCATCCGCCAAGGCTTCCCCCTTAGTCTCCTGCACCCTGGGAGTCCCAGACCCACCTCAGAAGGCCCCAAAGGGAGTTCCTTTTATGCCTTTTTTCCTTCTAACCTCAGTCCAACCCTTTGATTCACTCAAAGTAGCTATACTCAAAAATTTAAAATCCAGAACAAGTTTACTGACACCAATCCTTCCCAGAAAACACAACCACTGAAGAAAAGAGCATAAATGTCTCCCCTCTCTGTAACTCTGGGTACCCCACAGATGCGGAAAGGAGAATAAACCTGAATATGATTACCAGCCTAGTGTCCTGCATGACAGATTTGTGGAATTCTTCCTAGGTGCCTCTGTAATTTCCCTTAAAGCTTCACACCAGCCAAACAAGGCAGGGCAGCAGGTCTCATAACCCCACGCTGTAAACTGCCAACTCGAGCAGTCAAAAGAATCAGTGTTTTGGGTTTTGTTCTGATGAGTCTTCCAGTCTATTGATTTGGTCAGTTGATAAATGATTTTTAACGTGTCTTTTGCACATGTCCCCCAGTAAGAGGAGGTGAGATTCATCACCTGGAGAGGTGAAAAGAGGGTTGTGCCTTGGAAGGTTCTTAACTATCTCTTGTCTCAGGATTTGATACTTAAAAAAATACTCCAGCCCCAGTTTTTATCACAGCACCTGTCGACAGTGGTTTGGGGAACCCCCTCTGAGGTAGAGAGCCCTCTATTGTCAGGGCCACAAGGCAGAGTGGACTTTGGTGTTTGGCCAGTGACAGTGAGAGCTGGAGGTGACCTGGAAATGATGTGTGGCTAACATGCCGTTTCTCTGCCCTTCCTTTGCAGTAATCCATGGCTGTGTACTGAATAGTATTCCCCGCTACAGCTGGACTGGACTCCATTTAGCCTTTTAAGTCAAGGTTCCTCTTTTAACTGACAGCTTTCCTTTGGGGTCCCAGGCAGCCAGATGCCCCCTCCCTACCATGATGAACTTCCACTTCAAGTCCTTCTTTTTGAGTTCTGCCTCCCAGCCCCATGGGCACTGAGCATGACCATCTTCTTCCTTTTTTTTTTTAACTTTTGTTTTTATCAGCTTTTAAAACACACAAACAACACCAAAGTTTTAGGCCTTTGAGGGGTTTCTTACTTCAATAATAGATAATAGGAAGCAAAAAGCAGACAAAATGAAAAGCGAACATAGGCACACACCTTTTCTTGTTGGCAAAGCAAGACTGCAGTTGGGATAGGGATTTCTTGGTGAGTTACTGATGGGTTAGTGGCCAGAGGCAAATATGAAGATGAGGTTGCCAAAGCATAAGCTAGTTTCTTGAGACCATCAAAGTTTTCATTGGAGGGTTTAAGGAGACCTTAGCCTTGGAGGTTCAAAAAATAAAAGAAGTATGGCTACACAGAGAGATGCTAAGTCAGGGCTGCCATGTCTTCTTGGGAACGACATTGGCAGCTTTGCTGTTTTCTTAGCTGCTTCTTCCAAAGAACCCCAAACTTATACCACCAACTGGTCTTCATCTCCCCCTTCAGGTAGTTATTTGCATTACAACTAGGAGACTCCTTCATTGGCATTTGTTTACAGATTAATGTGAAATGCTCTGAAAACTTCTGAAAGTATTAGCACCACCCAGCCTCTGACAGACTTTCAGACACTAGGCAGGAATTTGGTATTAAGGGAGACATTTTGGTCCTTGACACAGATAGGACCTACTTTTTTTTTTTCCTAAGAGAAAATTAAGGCCCAAAGAAATGAAGAGACTTGTGGGAGGTCCCAGAGCTGTTTCTTGCCAGAAGTCAGGCTGAATTCAGTGTCTCCTGCCTGCCCATCCATTTCACAAGTGGATTCGATCTGTCCCAGTATGTTCCTGAAGATGAGATCTTTTGATGCTGAGAGAAACTGAATCGTTTGTAGTAGAGAGCCTTTGAGGTTTTTATTTCCCCATAAAAAATTTTACCTAAGGATGGGGTGGGTAAGACAGGCAAAGCAGAAAACTCCGGGCCAGCTCCTGAACCAGGAGTCACCAGGACACACCTGTTCGCTGGTCAGCTTTCCTGGAAGTCTGGAAGGGGGCCTAGGCATGCATCTCTAACAAACTCTAGAGAGTCTGGTGGAGAAAAATCTAATCTGTGAGTGACCCCAAGGCCTTCAGATAGTCCACCGAGGCTTTTAAAAGAATGTAAATGCTTACTTTGTTGGCTAGCCTTTTTCACTGTAAACAGAAAAAATTTTTCCTTCTTCAGTGAAAAAGCTTTTGAGTTAGTACAATCATTAGTTTCTTCAATAACCAAAGTATTCTGTTTACTTCTGGTGAAACAAAACCAGTCACTTGAAAGGGTCTGTGCTTTTATTTTCACGGACTGGAATGGAATGGCTTTCCTGAAACACACACACACACACACACACACACACACACACACGTCCTTTCTCTTGAGCCAAGAAGTCTGCTTTCCTTAGTTGGAGTGAACATCACTTTTGGGTTTTGTTTTTTGTTTTATTCATCTGGCATTCACATGTGGCTGTTAATATGTGCTTGTTTTTCATTAAAAACAAGAAGCTTTAAACTGGTGTGTGGTGTTGTTCAAACCCTCTCAGCAGATGTCCCTGGTGGTGGTGGTGATGGCCCATCAATGGCCTCATTTCTAACCTGTCTTCTTCAAGTGTCATCTTTGCTACCTCACACTGCCCGCTCCCCTCACCCTCTCTTACTTCAAATGTCCTTTTTCTTTGGCTAATTTCATGTTTTCTTTCTCTTTCTCTCTCCCTCTCCAGCTTTTTTTAATCTTGTCTTCAGCAGCTGCACTAAGTCTAAAGGAGAAGACTGCCATTATAGAAGAGTTAGGGCTCCATATTGTCTCAAACCAGAAACCAACCAGTTCCCTCTCCCCTCAATCTGAGTGCACACACACACACACACACACACACATACACACCCCACGCCACATCACACCAACTAGTGCTCATGTGTCCCTGTGTCCAGGCAAGAAGCTCTCTCCTGACTTACATGGCATTTTAAATGGAAGTGTCTTGTCCTAACTTAACAAGGCAGGAAAGGAGCCGTCAGAGCTGGAGAATGGACCCAATGTAACCTCAGAGACCACTGCAGGACGACTCACCCAAGTGTAAGTGACTGGGGCAGGAGACCTCAGCTGTGGGTGTGGAAGTGCTGTTCATGGGTTTGGGCTTGAGTTTTCGGTTTTTCTTTTTAAACAATTCTCCGGTTCAATGGTTGGACTGTCTCCAGCCACTATTAAACATTTCTGAATATGGAAAAGACGTTCCAGCGACACTCGTATCTTCGTCAGCATTCACAGACCTTCTGCAGACTCCCAGCATGGGGGGAAATGGATCCAATATCTAACACTCAGGTGGAAAGGGCGAGGCAGGAGGGAGTTTACACTTAGTGAAAGCAAAATGATCCATTCAACCTTGCGAGGCCAGTTGGGGTTTTAAGAGAGGTCTCTGCTCAACCTGGGATCTGGAGGGTGAGCTTTGATGTTGATAAATCTGCCTTGAATTCATTGGTTTGACTTGCATCAAAATGCCATGTGAGTGTGCTCATCCCCATAGACTCCTACAGCAGTCGCCATTCCACTGGCCAGTGTCTCTCGAGTCTCTCTGCATGTTTTCCACAATCTGTTTGTTTTTCCTTTCTTCTCCTTTGTTCTTTTTGCTCAAAAGTGTGACCAGTCACTGCCCCCCTCCTCTGCGGGGCTTTCATTCTTCGCCAGGAGAAACATCCCAAAACCAGCACTGTTTAGCTTGATACCTTTCTAATGTCCATGTCAATTTTCAATAAAATTCAAAGAAATGCTCAATGACTGTGTGATCTGATCTTAAATCATTAGGTGGGGTGACCCCACCAGGGTTTGTGTTAGGAGGAGTGGGTGACTTGAGGGGTGCAGGGAGGCACCAGCAGTCTGTGGGCAATCTTCTTAGTTTGGCTGCTGCTCCCCCTCCCCCCATTCTGGGCCAGAAATTCCCGCAGGATGAGTTCTCTGTTTTCCCTCATTGGCATGGATTTAACTGATCAGGTTGAATTCAGTATCAACTAGGATAACAGAGGACGTGGATCCTACAGAATAAGATTGGTGAGTTTTAATTCCAGAAAGCAAAAGAACTCCTCATTGTATGTCTTCTCTCATTTAATCCTGTGATGTGCAAAATCCCAAAAATTCATGGAAATGACTGTTCTTTTTGACTTGAAAGGCATTCTGTTGGTGGCAGGTAGTATTTTGTGTCCTGGGTCTACCAGGGAGGAGCCTCTCCTGTCCTGTCTCCCTCCCTCCTGCCTTCCCCTTCCCCTGCATTAGTGTGGGCAAGAGAGAAAGTGGAAAATTTTCATAATTTTGTCAGCAATTGAGGTCAGGTTTCTTTTTCTCAGCTTCATTTCCCGAATAGCCAGATGCTGGAGATAAGACAGTGTTCCTCATCCTCTCAGTACCAAGGCCTGGGAACTTTTGGAACACCAGAGGAAAAGACACTGGCCTGTCTCTGGGCAGTTCGCACACTAGGGGGCAGTCAATTGAGACAACACTGGCTTCTGATGTCACTGAGCAGAGGGAGGCCCCGACGTATGGAAAAATACAGGCCCTGGAGCCAGACAGCCTTACTAGCTTTGTGTGCTTTGGGGGCATGTTGTGTTAAAAAATCTGTGAAAGGAGAACATCAGTAACTCCCTTGCTTGAGTAATTGTGAAGGGGACCTGAGCTAATGTAAATTAAAGACCTAGATATCCTTTATTAAGGATGGACTTACCCCATTACTAGAAGCATCTTAGGTTTCTCTAATCAAGGGTTACTCTATCTCAGCACCATTGCCATTTGCGGTCAGATAATTCTTGGGGGGGTTTGCTGTCTCATACATTGTTGCATGATTAGCAGCATCCCCACCTAGATATCAGAAGCACACCTGACACCCTGCCCCTCATGTCTCCAGTTCTAACAAGCAATAATACCAACAGATGTCGCCAAAATTGTTCCATGTTGAGAATCATTGCTCTAGGTCAGAGGTCAGCAAATTTTTCTGTAAAGTGCCAGCTGGTAAATATTTTAGGCTTTGCAAGCCATGTGGTGTGTGCAGCCATTCCATCGTTACTATAGCATGAAAACGGTCATAGATAATACGCAAAAGAATGAGCGTGGCTATGTACTGATAAAACTATGGACACTAAAATTTTAAACTCACATGTGATTTTCCTTTTCACCTGTCTTGAATTATTCTTTTTATTTTTTTTCAATCATTAAAAAATGTGAAAGCGATTCTTAGTAAGAGTCATACAAGCGTAGGTCGGGGCAGCAGATGCGGCCTGTGGGCCATAGTTTGCCGACTCCACCTCTAATGCAGCTTTCTACTTAGTAATGCATCATCAAGACTCAGGTCCTAAAAGTGACTAGCCAGTCAGAAGAAATCATAAATGAACACAAATGGCTAAATTTTTCATGCAAGTTAGGGGGCAAAATGGGTTCAATGAAAATTTGCCTACAGTCCTGCTAGAGCATAGGTGAGGGAGGAAGGGGCCCACAGTGGTGATGACAGCCTGCCTCTGGGGTTTTGCTGAGGAGGGGGGAATGTCAATTGCTTCTAGGGAGAGAATCGAGCCCTAATAAACAACCAGGGCTCCAGTTGTCAGCACCAAGGTTAAGCAGCATTGTCTCCTGTCTAAGATTCCCCCGCCGAGGGAGATTCAGCCTTTTGCTGCAAGGACAAATTTCTTGAAGGTTCATTATTTTCAAATGTGGGTGCTCCTTAGAAAAGTTGCTCATTAGACCAGTAGTACTGTACAGTATTGCTGCCTGGACCTACTGTCCCTCTGTGTCCAAGTCCTGCCCTTCCTTAACTTGTGGCTCAAGCTTTAGAAAGTCCTTGTCCGGATTCAATGCCCATTAAGAATTACATGTATGCCTGTTAGGTATAGGGTTGGGGACAAGCTCCTTATCTTGATTTTGGGCTTAATGAAATTACTGTAAATAAAATGATAAGGGTGTATTGAACACTTCATTGGGTTTGGCCAAGTGCCCTATGCTAGGGGGATCTAGTTTTTGCATGAGATCTAGTTAGACACTGCTATTGAGGGACTTACGGACTGGCCTTATCTTTACTCTATCATGTTTTCTAGTACTTCCTAATACCCAGTCTCCATTCCAGACCATTCAGTCTCTGCATAGGTCTGTCCAAGCTCGACAAACTATTTGTTTTTTTTTTTTTTTTTATATATAGAGGCATGTTTTATTTATTTATTTGTTTGTTTATACATGCACTGGGTACAGTCAGAAGCACGGGAGGGTGAGAGAATTCACCAGAGCCAGAGCGGGGAACAGAACAGGCAGAAGGACAGAAGTACACTGCTGAGGGGAGCAGCGGGCGGCAGGAGAGGTCTGTGCACCATGTGGGACCCTCCTCCGGTGGCCAAGGAGCAGCCGGGGATTGAACCGGCGCCGCAGAGACCGCGGGCAGCTTCGCAACCCAGCGTTCAACCACTGCGCCACTGGGGAGGCCCTCGACAAACTATTTGTTAATGTAATATATTTCTGGAACCATTTGAAAATAACTTATATGTATCATGGCCTTTTATCACCAAATATACCTAAGTGGTGTAAGTGGTGTTTCCTAAGGATATTCTGTTACATAAACATAGTTATCAACTATAGAAATTTAAACATTGCTACTGATAAATATGCTTTACAGCATTATTCCCCCTGCCATTTAGGATTTGATCTGGGATCATCCATTGTGTCCTGTCTCCTTAGTCTCTAATTTGGAACTGCCTTTCTTTGTTTTTTAGGACTTTGATATTTTTGAAGTCTCATTTAAGAAGTAGATTGTTCTCATTTGGGATGAATGCGTTGCCCAATTTCGTCACTATATAATTATTGTTCCCCCCCCCTTTGCTACTAATAAACAATCTATGGGGAGAAACTATGTTAATGCAAATATCCTACTCATCAAAAATTTCCCCTTAGGGGCCTCCCTGGTGGCACAGCGGTTGAGCGCTGGGTATCAAAGCTGCCAGCAGCCTCTGCGACGCTGGTTGGATCCCCGGCTGCTCCCCGGCCACCGGAGGGTCCCGCATGGCGCACAGACCCCTCCTGCTGCCCGCTGCTCCCCTCAGCAGTGTACTTCAGTCCTTCTGCCTGCTCTGCTCCCCGCTCTGGCTCTGGTGAATTCTCTTACCCTCCCACGCTTCTGACTGTACCCAGTGCTTGTATAAATAATAAATAAATAATAAATAAACAAACAAATAAATAAATCTTAAAAAAAAATTCCCTTAGATTTAGCGTCCGTTGATAATTCTTGCCTTGTGCTAATGTACAAAATGATTATTTTCCAACTCATGTATTCCCTTCGTATTTCCCAACCAGCACATGATATTCTATTGTAAAAAAAAAATCCTCTTCTTCATTATGCTTTTATCTATTTAGTATTACTGTGGATTTATACTTTTTATTTTTTCAATGGCTCATTACAGTCCTTTACTAATTTGGGTGCTCAAATCACCAAGATTTGGCCAGTGAGAGCTCCTACCTATTGCTTTAATCTATTAGTAAACATCCCACAAGAGGA